ATCGACAGTGGGGCGCCACCGTCAATACCGGATCGCTGGTTCCGATTTTTGCCATGTTGGAAACCATAATTATAGTTGAACGATGGTAGCGCCCCCCTGTCATTGAATTTGGTGGGACAGTTCAGCGTGGGTCATCTATATTAGAAGAGTGGTAGTTTTTTTTTCACTGCTAGCAGACTGAGCAGTCATGCTCTTGCCATAACATTCTTTTTTGTTCAATTATGGCTTCGTGCGGATTGCACATAATAGACAGTGGCAAGTAAGTATGATAAAATTCAAGTATTTATATGATTCAACTAGCTGTGCCCGCGACTTTGTACGAGTGAAAACCCGTTTTCGCAACATTTTTCATAGTTGCTCTGCACCTATTACTCGTAGCGTGATGGTAAAGTAGCCTTCCTCGATATTATGGGCTATCGAATACTGAAAGATTTTTTCAAATCGGACCGGTAGTTCCTAGATTAGCGCGTTTAAGTAAACCAACAAATTTTTCAGCTTTATAATATTAGTATAGATTGATGATGAATGTAGGTAAATGATAGATAGGATGAAATCCTTCCGTTTCCCTTGAGTTTCAGTAAGTTGTGGCACTTTACCGACACCTGAAGCGGACTTTGACAGAATTGTTAATAATGTATCATAAATTAATAGTCAGCTAAACAACTAATTTTAGAAAACAAATCCTGAAAATATGCTAATAATATGAATTAGCATTTGAACCAAAACAAACTTAATATAATGTGAAATGACTTTCTACAAAAGTCTGATCATTGCCATGTACCGCTACATAGATATTTGTTTGGTGCCGCAGTGGAATTTTTTGGTCTACGTAATAGTTAATATTTGCTGAAATATAAAATTATGGGTTATGATAGTTGGTGCTCGGTCGGTTCGTAATAATACTATTTTTGAACTGTTTTTGTGTAGGTACTAAGCTGTTTTTGTTTTCATTTTATACTCGTAGTAGTTCGCGCTACATTGTGTAAATAAGGATTATTTATTAATTTATAGATTGAAAAAGAAATATTCAGAAGAGGTGGGATTTAGTTATACGTTAGATGATCAAAGTAAACTAAAATAATAATTTAACGAGTCTACTTTGATCACCCAAGTCATCTTATTCATGGGTGATCATTTTTTTTTCATTTTCAAAATTTCTTTATTTCGTAAAATATTGTTACATCAAAACAGTTCTAGTGTACATCTTGGGTGATCAAAGGATACCATTCCTTTGACCTTCCCCACCATGGGCCACGGCATATGCTGAGTAGNCAATCGATGATGAATGAAAATGATAGACGAGATGAAATCCCCCTTTTATCTTGAGTTTCACTAACCTGGGGCACTTTACTGAAATCTAACGCGGACTTTTTGAGAGAATTTTAGGACTGATGGTGCATTATTTTTTTCCATTTGCCTACACTCATGCACGCTCACCAACATGGTTAATAAATGCTAACATAAATTAATAGTCAGCTAAACAACTAATTTTAGAAAACAAATCCTGAAAATATGCTAATAATATGAATTAGCATTTGAACCAAAACAAACTTAATATAATGTGAAATGACTTTCTACAAAAGTCTGATCATTGCCATGTACCGCTACATAGATATTTGTTTGGTGCCGCAGTGGAATTTTTTGGTCTACGTAATAGTTAATATTTGCTGAAATATAAAATTATGATAGTTGGTGCTCGCTTGGTTCGTATGTTCGTAATAATACTATTTTTGAACTGTTTTTGTGTACTAAGCTGTCTTGTTTTCATTTTATACTCGTAGTAGTTCGCGAAAAGAAATATTCAGAAGAGGTGGGATTTATTTATATGTTAGGTGATCAAAGTAAACTAAAATAATAATTTAACGAGTCTACTTTGATCACCCAAGTCATCTTATCCATCATGGGTGATCATTTTTTTTTCATTTTCAAAATTTCTTTATTTCGTAAAATAATGTTAACAGTTCTAGTGTACATCTTGGGTGATCAAAGGACACCAAACTGTACTGTAATAGACCGACCTTCCCCACCATGGGCCACGGCATATGCTGAGTGGAGTCCCATTGCGATGGGCATCGCTGTTGCAACAGGGTAGCACTGCTCAGTTCACTTTTTCTTTCCTTGTAATGTTTATGTGCTATTTCAATCTTTTTTGCCGTATACCTTCTTTGTCCTTAACTAAGTGATGTTCATCGTAATAAATGTATCTTTCTTTTCTTTCAAAAAGATGACTTAAAAATGCGGCAGCCACAGCAGCTTTTTGGAACGGTCAATGCAAAAACCGAACGGCCATCTTACTAGAACTTTCCACGAGCATGACGATACCTCTTACGAGTCTAGTTTTTAAATTGAGTCAGCGGTTTTTGAGCCAGAATTTTTTGTTTTTATTCTATCTTGAAATAGCAAAGGCATCAGTTTTACAGCCAAGTTTTTCATTTGAGATTTTTGTCCTTTCACTAGAAAAGGCAAAGGTATAAGGCAGAGTTGCACTCCTAATTTTAACCGTAAGAGTAGGCGCACACCGTTGATTTTTCGTCGGCCGATAGTTTAGTCAGGCAGTTGATCAGTATGGGCATGTATGGGAGTGCGCACACTACGCCGATTCAATTTGGCCGATTCTTCATACAAATTAAAATCGGGCACAACTATCGGCCAACTAAAAATCAACGGTGTGCGCATACTCTAACTAAACGATAACCGATGATTTTTTGTTTGGAGTTTGACAGATTTTTGACGTTTGTTAAACTTAAAATAAGATGGTGCAACTCAGCCTAAGTGGTTATAATTAAAAAACTGATTATCTGCATCTTTCTATAGGAAAAGAGAAAACGAGTTAAGACTTATTAGTTGATGAAACCATAAAGTTACTTTTACTATGCTTTTACCAATATGCCCTGTATGGTTCATGAACCAAACATGTCTATGTTGCTAGAAACACCTAGAACTTTCCAGAAATCTAGCAACTACCCAGTTCTGTTCTTAATTGAAACCAGTAAGTAAACGGCATTTGTTTTTTAACTGTACCTACATTCTTTTGTTTGGTTTTTATTCTTTCACTAGATTTACGCCAAGAAATGATCTATTTTTTTTTAAACAGATTTAACGGCTTCGGATTGTATCCTTACGGCCAAATCTTTAGTGAGATAAAGAAATGATTTACAACCAAGATTGACATTTTACTTCTTTTCATTAAAAAAAAAAGCGAAGGAATAACATCCATAAATCATACTTTTATAACCGCTATCCAAAATCACGCTTTGCCAATAGGATCGTAGAAAGTGACAGCCAGCACAAATGTATTTTTACTTCGAAATAAAAATCGGACAAAAGAGAGTACACTTCTAAAATATTACTCGTATGAAGAAATCTGAAAGGTGTTGAAAAGCAGCTGTCATCGTGTTTTTATTTTTAATTTGATTAATTGTAATCAATGTCAGTGTTTAATTATCGGCGATGTTATGTTTTTAATTAGGTAATCTGTATAATTAACAGTTAAGGAAATATTTAGATTTCAAATTGACTTTTTGTTAGTTTTGTTAATTGTATTCTTAAATGAGTACGACATTTTAATGAAAAAATGTTTGAATCTTTATTGGAACTGTCGCGCTAATAGAAAATGGGTTGTTTTCCAATTATCGAAAATAATACACTTGAATTTTGTTGTTGTAAGCTCGCTAATGTTTTGTACTTTCTTACATTTACATTACAATTAATGTTTGGTTTGTTTATTTTACGTACACACGCCCACACTGTTTACTATCCATTTCCGTTTTTGCTCTCGCTCTAATCAAATGGCGATTCTTTGCGATAGAACGAGATGACATGACTTTCAATGGGCAGTTAACACTGTTGCCGATAGTACGTGCGCTATGATTTTCTCCAAAGATTTTTGACAGAAAAAGATTTGATGGTATTTGACACTACTAATCATTGACGTACTTTTTTATGAACTGTCAAAACGAGACTCCCATAGATTTTGTAGGGCAATACAAGCCGATGACACTATTTTGCCAACTCAAATGACTTACGCTGAGTTGCACCACCTAACTTTAACGGTAACTATTATTATTAGTGTCATATTTTTGACATTTGTTAAATTTAAGTAAGATGGTGCAATCAATTAGAAAGCGACCAAAATCTTCATTTACAATTAATTTAGTTTTTAAAATCAGGATGAAGAGCGTTTTTAAAAAGTTGTGCTAACAATTATTGGTGAATGGAGTCAAATACCCAATTTCTATTTGAATAAATAAAAATGATTGTTTGAAAAATGAATGATGTGTTTTTATTTAGTACGTTCAAAACACCACACAAGACCAATTTGGAATAGGAAGAGGAAAATTGAGAGAATTTCCCGGGAAGTCCGGAAACATTTTCAAATTCGGGAAAGTAAACGAATTTGTCCTGCAGATTTTCATAGGGATCTTTTTTAATGCTTGTCGCATCAACTAGTTATTCGAATAAATGTTTTAGGGGAAGAAATGTAAGCGTTGAATATCAAATTAGCATGTAATGTAGAAGACGTAGCGTGGGCAGGCCTGCTACTAGGTGGACCGACGATCTGGTAAAGGTCGCGAGAAGAGCCTGGATGCGGGCAGCGCAGGACCGTTCATTCTGGAAAACCTTTTGGGAGGCCTTTGTCCAGCAGTGGACGCCATTTGGCTGAAACGAACGAACGAACAACAATATTACAACATAATGATAAATTGCCACATAAAATCACTAAGACTGGGTTGCACCATCTTACTTTAACTTTGACAAAGGTCAAAAATCTGTCAAAATCCATACAAAAACCACCGGTTATCGTTAAAGTAACGGTCAAAGTAAGGTGGTGCAACTCACCCTAAGAGAAAATTATCATTTTGACAGCTCAGCTTTTGAACGAATTTTTAGAACGCGTTTTTATTCTATTTTGTTTTATCTAGCTTCCTTAGCCTACCTATTCTCCATAAAATAAATTACAAATACGACATTCTTTTTAACATTTAATTCCTTTGTTGCAGGTAAAAAAAGAAACAAACCACCGAAGTACGACATTCCAAAGCAAATGTACCTAAAATAAAAGACATAAGAGGCTTGAAGAACGAGCGCGAACGCAGGAGAGCACACGCGAACGCGGGCGAAGCGAACAGAGCGAGATTAGACTGACGCGAGCGCGAACACAAAAGCACACAAATGAAGATGCTGCCCCAACAGTATTGTTTAAGGTGGAAACACCATCATTCTAATGTACAGAATATGTTCGCACAGCTGCTAGAAAAAGGTTGGTATTTTTTTTTTCTTTTAAAAAAAAATAGCAAATAGCCCAGTGCAAGTGGTGTCGTCAGTGACAGACTCTCGGTCTCCTAATCCAGATCCAAGGAACGAGGTTTCACTGTATTGCCGCTGCGGCGCTGCCTCTTGACTATTGTGGTGAACTCGTAACATAAGCATAGTTTAGCTCAACACGAGTAACTATTGATCATCATCATCATTTCAACCACAGGACGTCCACTGCTGAATATAGGCCTCCCAATGTTTTTTATGTTGATCGATTGGTAGCGGCCTGCGTCCAGCGCTTCCCTGCTACCTTTATAGGTGGACGTCGCACGCTTCGTTTTCCGATACGCGGCCTCCATTCCAGAACCTTGCTGCCCCATCGTCTGTCAGTTCTGCGAGTAACTAAACTGGCCATCACTACCTTAGTTTTAGCTTATTTATTGGTAGACGGACAACTTAGTTCTAGTTTAGCTTAGCTTAGTTCACTGAGTTTAGTTTTCATTTAGTTTAGCCGGTGGTGGACGTTCGGCTTTAAGTAATAAAAATACTCTCTGTTTAATATACTAGACAGACAGACAGCAGACAGTTTTCGTTCATTGTTTCGACCAAATATTATTATGTCCAGTGCTCGACAAGATCTCTCCAAAGTTTTCCACAACATTCAGTAGCCTACTGAAGCGAAAATACATAAATAGATTGTGACACATTTTTAACATTTTGGACACTGTGAGCTGTGACAAATTTTTTTTCGTGCGCTGTTTCTTCTCAGGACTGGCCCATTTATTGTCCCGAAGCAGTGGTAGGGTCAATATTGGGACGTGTAAAAGTTCTTTCTAAAAGCCTACTTGCAAAAATAAATGACTTTTGATGAAAAGTAGTACACACAAAAACAGCCTGCATTATAGTGTTTAAAATAAAATAAACTTTAAGTTAAAATTAAGTTGTCCCAAAACAGAATAGAAAAGTCTAAAATACGAATTTCGGCCTCGTTCTGCCTATTTTTACTAACTCTTTGGTCATGAACTAGCGTCAAAAAAACAAAATAATACCACGAGACAAAAGAACGACCTTAGTACATGAAGGCCAACTTCGGTTGCTGCATAATATTTTTAATATGCCATTTTAAATTCGCACAAAAACACTTTTTTGGAAACAACTTCTTAAAATAAACTCGACCTTTTAAAGAGGTCAGTGGTCAGGGCGTATTTTTGAAGCATTCGAATTTAAATTTCGTATACTATTTTGCAAAAATGTTTACGTACGTATTAAGATTAGCTTGATTTCGTATGCGATTTTTAAATTCTAGTATTTCAAAAATACGTCTCAGGTGGAAGTATAAATAAATTCCAATTTTAAACTCGATTTGAATACATTTTTAAGAGTTCAAATTCCGAATTCCAATTTTGACCTTCGAACCTTAGGCAAGAATGGTAAAATCGCTTTTATAAAATAACTGAGTTGCACGGTTGCACCATCTTACTTTACCTTGACAAACGTCAAAAATCTGTCAACTCCATACAAAGAGCACCGGTTATTGTTAATGTGACGGTTAAAATAAGGAGGTGCAACGCAGCCTTAAGTGTACTAAAAGACAACTGTTGGCCAAATCCTCCATTTGTTCAATGGAGACTATTATGACCTGATGACGAAGTATTTAATTTTTGCACTTTTCTTTTGGAAAAAGGAGTCGTTAGTTACTCTTTAATCGCTTTCGAATCGACATTATTGCTTTGTCTATTAATAAAATGCCAAATGTTGTTGCAGGAATGGATAACAACAACTTACTTTTTTATTTATCTTTTTCACTATTAACGACACGCAGCCGATGTAATATGATAAAGTAATACACTCGATTTTGAAATATCGTGTTTATTTTTGTAATTGTTTTACGATATGCACTCGATTTTGAAATATCGTGTTTATTTTTGTAATTGTTTTACACAAATTAATTGCTGTGGTCGCACGCGCATTTGATGTCCTGTTCGGGAATTGACAAATATTGTACTTTTTTCTTCTTTATGAAGAACACGCGACGCGATATTTTTATTTGTTATTTTATAAAAAAAATTTTTTACTGTCGTGAGTTTTAAAATTGTCCCGTGGTTCCTTTTCTTTTTCATGGCACGCGAAGCGGCACGGTTATGTTATTTTATAAAATATCGTCTCAAAAATGACCTTTTTACTGTCGTGGGTTTAAAATTAAAAAAAATCCGTGGTTTCGACACAGCAGAATAGGACCCCATATTGCCGTGGATGTCGTAAGATATGACTAAGGGAGAAATATGCAAACATGCCTCCCCAACCCGTCTAGCCAAGTTTAGGGAGTCTAGGCCAAATACTCCATTTGAATTTTCAGTGAGATGATAAATAAAACTAATCGCTTCTTCTTCTTTTCGTGTCGACAACAAACCTACACAGTGTCAGCCCAAAACTCCGCCACAAGAGTGGCGTTGTCAGTAGCACTCATCAAATCCTCCTGAGTGCAGTTGCTTGGGCACTCAGGGCATGACATTAGGTGCTTCATCGACTGGGGAACAAAACTAATTTGTTTTTTGCAAGTGGGCTTTTAAAAAGCACTTTTAAGTATTAACCATACCACTGCTTCGGAACAATTAATGGGCCAGTGCTGAGAAGAAGCGCAAGAAACTCAGTTACTATTGTCAGCCGGTTTACAGTCTTTAAAATATTACACACTGATAAATATTATAAAATATTTTGGTGCATAATCCAATAAAACAGAGAGTGCATAGATACCTCTCATTATAAACATGGTAGTAGACACCTCTTGGTGTCTACTACATGTCTGTAGAAGTTAAATAAAAGACAAATATTCTTCTATTTTTATGTTTACCGAAATATGACTTAACATAGCACACGTGTCTCGATTTTGAAATGTATTTTTAGATACATTCAAATAATTTATTGTAATTTATTTAAGAGCGTCGCATACATTTTATTCTATTTATACATCAATGATGAAATATTTATAATTTTGAGAAAGTTTGCATGTCTTTACCATTGACCAATACAATTATTGCTTTGCCCGCGACTTCGTACGCGTGAAAATAGTGAATAATATTTCGCGTTATTGCAACATTTTTCTTTACTGCTCCGCCCCTCTTGTCTGTAGGGTGATGTTTTATAGCCTAACTAAAGCCTTCCTCGATAAATGGGCTATCTAACACAAACATTTTTCAACCAGTAGTTTAGAGCAAGATTTTGTAATATTTAGATTTGAAAAAGTAATGAAAAATTGTTAAGGTTTTATCCATAGGTACAGCATTATTTTCTAAAAATAGACAGGCTGGGTTGCACCAAAAATCTGTCAAACTCTGTACAAAAACACCGGTTACTGTTATAGTTACGGTTAAAGTAGGTTGGTGCAACTCAGCCTTAGTTGCATCTGTATGATAATAATATTGTTGCATTATAAAAAAAACCGGCCAAGTGCGAGTCGGGCTCGCACACCGAGGGTTCCGCCGTGCAAACGTAGCGGTTTACAATTTATGACGTATTAAATCAAATTACTTACTTGATTCCGTTGCGAGTAGTGGCGAATTTCAAAATATGCGGTATGATTATTTTTTATTTATTTATTTTNACACCCTGTATACAGCATGAAGGGACTCTCCGCATTTATTAGAATTTCAACTTCAGATGTACGCAGTATGATATCCCTGTGTAGACAAGTAAAACATATTTTTTGTTGTAGTGACACGGGAAGAGAAAGAGATCCAGAATGGCAGCACGGGAACCTGGTAAGTGATGTCTACACAGTGTTTTTTAAAGACCTTATAATTATGTTAGGTATCTAATGAGTGCCTTTATATTGGATTAAGTTTTAGCCTGGGCGCAGACCACCGACTTTTAGTTGGCTGATAGATAGTGGGGCTGTTAATCAGCATGGATGGACAGTGGACACGTATAAAAGTGCGTACACTGGTCTGGTATCAGCCGATTTTTCATACAAATTGTAATCGGGCCCAACTATCGGCTGACTAGAAGTCTGTAGTCTGCACGGAGTCTAGGTTAAGCTTTGTTCTGTAATACGTGCCATTGTCATTTTCAGAATATATTCAATTTTGTCACAAAACTCTTTCTCACCCACAGGATATAACCGCGGAACGCGTAGTCGGTTGGGGCGGCGGCCCGGAATCAGCAGGCGACTGGTCGCGAGAGCCGTCGGATGATGAGTGGGCCGATGCACCCACGGATATCGGGTCCTTCCTGCATACTAGACTGAGGGTCGATGGAGATAATAGCGCTGGTAAGTTTTCATAATAATAAGTTAAGACTAGAAATATTTTTATATCAAGCCCTGTCAACAACTTCGTCACCGAGATGCAGGTTTGCATAAGCAGCGTGTGTACTAAGGATTTAGGATATAGTGCCATCTATTGGTGTTGCGACAACAAGTCGTATTGAAGCAATAGCTGGTGCTTTCAAAAGCAACAAACAGCAGGACGATGAGTGGGCCGATGCACCGACTGATATCGGGTCCTTCCTGCATACCAGGCTGAGGGTCGATGGAGACAACAGTGCTGGTATGTATTTATGAGTATGTGCTGAGGATTTAGGATATAGCGCCATCTATTGGCGTCGCGACAGAATCGCTTTTTAGTTAGTCGGCGCTTTATAAAGCAAGAAACAGCAGAACGTAAGGTTATACAGATAGGTACGTAGACAGCGAGTGGGATGATGCACCCACGGATATCGGGTCCTTCCTGCATACTAGACTGAGAGTCGATGTAGACAACAGCGCTGGTAAGTTATTATAACTTTATCACCAGCAAACGCAGACTATGCTTCTTCAGAGTCAACTTCAAACTTGGGAATAGCATGAACTCCACAGGCTGCTGAGAGTCGATGGAGACAACAGCGCTGGTATGTATTTAAATCAAGCCCTGTCAAAAACTTCGACACCGCGATGCAGGTTTGTGTCACGATAGCGTGTGCCAAAGATTTATTTTACGATAGTGTGTGCTAAGGCTTTAAGCTACAGCGCCATCTATTGGCGTCGCGACAGAACTGCTTTTATTCAGTCGGTGCTAGAAAAAGCAACAAACGTGCTGGTGAGCTGGTACACAAGTGTTTGTTTGTTTATAATGAGCTAAGAAGTAACCAGAGTAACATCGTTTGTCTTTAAAACAAATTTGATCCCTCCTAAACAAAGTAATCGTGACAAAACCAATTTATTGATTATCCTATCGATATATCAATAAACTCTTAAGGTCTTATTCTCAAAATATTGTTTATTTCAGACGACGAGTCAAACGACAGCGCCGGCGGCGCGCGGTCGGTCTCGTCGGTCGCGGCGTCGTCGTCGTCGGTCGCCGACCGGACCGACGTCAAGGTGGAGCCGTTCGCGATCACGCCACAGACCAATAAACGTGAGTATAAAGGTCATAGCAGACTTATCAACTCGGAAAGGGATCAACACCATATCGCCTTTCGTGCGGTGTCAACCGCGAGGCGAGGTGTTTATCCCAACTAACATTATAAATGCGAAAGTAACTCTGTCTGTCTGTCTGTCTGTCTGTCTGTCTGTTACGCTTTCCCGCTTAAACCTCGAAACCGATTTTGATGAAATTTGGCATAGAGATAGTTTGAGTCCCGGGAAAGAACATAGGATAGTTTTTATCCCGGTTTTTGAAACAGGGACGCGCGCGATAAAGTTTTTCTGTGACGGACAAAATTCCACGCGGGCGAAGCCGCGGGCGGAAAGCTAGTATCACATACAAAGAATACTGACCGCCTCGAGTTGATACGGTTACTATCCGTTTCCGGGTTGATAAGTGTGCACGTCCTTACGTCATTGAAGTAACGATTTCAAATTAATTTTTTTTATTGCATAATATGTTTTTATAGGCGTTTTTATAATGTGAAGGCACTCGCTGTCATATAGTATGGAATTATCGGCAGCGCGACTGTCGCACGTTTGTCGCGCTGCTAAGTCGCCTATATGTGAAAGCGCTCATATAGTTGAGCGATGGTGGCCCCTCCCTTGTCAATGAGTTGGGTGGCAGTTCAGTGTAGTTTATCTATATTAATACAGGTCAGTTCCTGTTTACTAACAAAACCCTGGGCGATCTACCACTTACATATTTTTTGACTTGAAATCTTAAATGAAACAGCATAGTTTAGTACACAATCATGTAGTATTTTTGCCTTGCCACGATCGACTGGACTAATAGTCGCGATCCACTCACTAGGAGTTGGCCACCCCTGCTTTATACGACTACACCAGAAGGAGGGTTATGTTTTTAATTGTTTTTTTTTGCCCACAGCGACGGTAGGCCCCAAATCTGGCCCCACGGACCCCCGTTTCACAGACGTGGTGAAACTGACGGACTACCTACAACACGGACGGAGGCCGCAGTTCTGGGAGGAGCACTATGTTAAGAGGGTAAGCTTTTGACCCTTGTGCAAATGTGCTCACTTGCAAAAATAAAATGGGTTTATGAGTTTTTGTGTCATGTCAATAATTAAAATATGCCTTATAAATACTCATTTACATTCTGAAAACCAGGACTTAGCTCTAAAGCTCAGTACTATGCTCAGATTGATGCCTTTTGCTAACGAACAGTATTTTTAAAAGTAAAAGTTATAAGCATGAATAATGAAATCCGCATCACAGTAAAAATGCACTAATGGCCGTTTTCACCATCAATCCTTAATTTTTATGTGACCCATATGGTAACACATAACAGGAATTTAGAATAGAATAGAATAGAATATTATTTATTTGGCACAATACACNACAGACAGACAGACAGACAGACAGACAGACAGAGTTACTTTCGCATTTATAATATTAGTTGGGATAGTTGGGACTAAAGCCTTCCTCGATAAATGGGCTATCTAACATAAAAAATTTTCAACCAGTAGTTTAGAGCAAGATTTTGTAATATTTAGATTTGAAAAAGTAATGAAAAAAATTGTTAACGTTTTAAATTTTCCATACAGCATTATTTTCTAAAAATAGACAGGCTGGGTTGCACCAAAAATCTGTCAAACTCTGTACAAAAACACCGGTTACTGTTATAGTTACGGTTAAAGTAGGTTGGTGCAACTCAGCCTTAGTTGCATCTGTATGATAATAATATTGTTGCATTATAAAAAACGCATCTACATTGAAAAAAGATATCTGTCAAGTATTTATATTTTTAGTTTCGTTGCTATATTAGAATGCGTAATTAACATAACCATGTGTTTCTATACTCGAAATTTATTTTTGGATACATTTGAATAATTTATTTTAATTATTTACTAATGTAGTTGCTATGCGATTAGTAACTTGGTTTTTTTTTGTATTGTTGAAATATTTTTAGCATTGCTTTTTGCAAATTTTGTACTTTGGACATACCTTACCTACGTTGAACTTACGAATACGTAATTATTTTATAAATCCGATTAGTGTAGTCTAGTGATAAGATCACATAGAACCATAGATCGTCTCGGGTTCGATTCCCATTGGGGGCAAAATTTTCTGCTTGGTTGGTGGTGGGCTTGTTAATAATCAGCCTTACTTTAACTATAGCCAAAATCAAATCATTTAATGGAGTTAGTCAAATATGGAGTTTCCATACAAAAAACACCGGTTATCTTTGTAGTTACCGTTAAAGTAAGATGGTGCAACGTAGCCTAGAATTTTTTATTCGATAAGACGCAATAAAAAAAAAGATCGTTTAAAGAAAGAAGCTTACTAAAAAGTTTTACTTGCCACTGGCCAGAGGCGAAAAAACCATTTAAGAAAAATAACTTTTATTTTTAACTAGCTTTCCGCCCGCGGCTTCGCCCGCGTGGAATTTTGTCTGTCACAGAAAAACTTTATCGCGCGCATCCCTGTTTCAAAAACCGGGATAAAAACTATCCTATGTTCTTTCCCGGGACTCAAACTATCTCTATGCCAAATTTCATCAAAATCGGTTGCGAGGTTTAAGCGGGAAAGCGTAACAGACAGACAGACAGACAGACAGACAGACAGAGTTACTTTCGCATTTATAATATTAGTTGGGATTGTATTGCCAGTACGAGTATTACGCAAACCAATGTTTTGATTGCGCGATTCAAAATGACGTCGCCACATTAAATTGATTCAAATTTACATTGACGTGTATGCTATGGACCGGGCATATAAAATAAACGTGCTCGGTACATGCACGATTTGGGAAAGGAACATGGCCGCAATGTAGGCAATCAACTGACAAATACACAAAACCAAATTTTCACAAAAGTTGCCTATATTGCGGCCATGTTCTTTTCCCAAATCGTATTTAAGTACCGAGTACGCATCAGACAGTTGGTGACGTCACATGAAAATGTTGCCAGAAGAATATTGACCAAATATTCATAATCTTTTTTCTTCATACGTCACCATGCCATGGGTAACTTAGAAAAAGATACATAGCAGTTTTTTTTCCATCGCTGCAACTCCTGTGTAGCCAGGATCTACAGCTTGACCGCCAATAAAAAACCAACCAATGAAGGTCAAGTTTGTCCCGGGGGAAAGTTAAACTGTCATTGGACTCGCAACGAAATTAATCAGAAATGTAAATGTTGTCATTAATGTTTCAATTTCATATTTGTGCAATTTTTGTATAAATAAATAGGGCCTCTCCACTTATTTGGTACCTCCATGGTATCATACGACACTAACCTAGCCACTGACGGAAAGTTTTGAACAAAAAACCTACTTGCCAATCGGTTTTTTGACCACACTGGACTTTGAACTCATGATAATACGAGTTGGCCACACAAAGACAAGATTATTAACATTTAAAACGCGTGACCAAAATTTTTATTTGAGTTGAACATTGAGATCGAAAAAATCTACAACTAACATCTAACTTAGTCTGATTTAAAAAAAAATGTTTATAGAGGAAGCTTTGGGATATTAACTTACAGCCAATAGGAGCGGAGCAGTAAAGAAAAATGTTGCAAAAACGGGAAATACCTATCTATTATTCAAACTATTTTCTCATGTAAGTCGCGGGCACCGCTAGTTTAGAATATTTAAAGGGCCATAGATAGATAGATATCTCTATAGGGTTTATGAAACTGCTGTTGGGCTTAAATTGTTATTTTAATTAGCTTAAAACATGCTGAATAAGGCCCAGAACAGACGGTGAAACGCAACTGCAACGAAACTGCAACTTTCTGATGATTCTTATGAATGAAACTGAAACTGAAATTTTCAAACTGGTCGCGTCATGTGTGGTCTCTCAACGGACGCTATGGCAGAAACTTAGATGCAACTCAAAAGTAACTAGCAGTTGCAGTTTCATTGCAGTTGCGTTTCACCGTCTGTTCTGGGCCTACTCGTAAGTGTTCCGAAAAACGTATAGTTTGCGACTTGTAGAGCAAAAACTAAAAAACCGGCCAAGTGCGAGTCGGACTCGCGCACCGAGAGGGTTCCGAACAAATCTGTAGGTGTATAACTGTGATTTTGTTACAGCTTAAAGGTACTATAGACCTGAGTAGGTATTTGATACCTCTTCAGCCAGATAGACAGACGGGACTATTCCCACTTCTTGTTCCCACCACTGCAACTCCTGTGTAGCCAGGATCTACAGCTTGACCGCCATAAAAACCCAACCAATGAAGGTCAAGTTTGTCCCGGTTGAAAATTAAACTGTCATTGGACCGCAACGAAATTAATCAGAAGAACATAGGAGGAGTTCGAAATTAAGGTTCGACTTCCCTCCATTGCAAAGCGGATGACAAGTGACAAACAAACACAGGTGACAGACAGACAGACATGACGAATCTATAGGGTTCAATTTATTGCCATTTGGCTACGGAACCCTTTTGTTAATAAACTGTTTTTATCGGGGTACTCCCAGCGTCCCAGCATAGTTTTTCTCACATAAGTCAAATCAAAATAAAACTGGTTTCTTAGAAGTCGTTCACTCAAAAATTCTCGAAATATTTTTGGTTGAGTCATGCCCGAATCTATTTTAATACTCACGTTGTTTCTTTGTAAACAGGAAACGAGAACGTAAATGTTCAAAATGTTATTATATTACTAAGATAGTGGAGTTCTAAATGAAGGAGAGCTAACTTTGTTCATTCTTCGGCCATTTGCGTTTTTCATACATTCAATTGAGTCTACAACGTGTTGACGAAAAAATTTACGAATAACTTCTTTTTCGCTTTAAAATTACAACTCTATAAACGATCCAGTAATTTCATTTATTTTCGCATATTTTTTCCTTAGTCACCCCTTACGACATGGAGAGTGGGAATCCTCTACTCTGATAGAACCACACGGCTTAAGGCCCGGTTTTCACCAAGGCGTAGCGCAGCGGAGAAGTTTTGGGCCGTGAAATTTTTCTATAGAATTTGACAGCGGCGGTGACTTGTCGAGGACCGCAGCTGTGCACAGCGTAGAGGAGTGGAAATAATCAGAAACACTTCTCCGCTCTGCTCCGCCGTGGTGGAAACCGGGCTTTAGGCAGAACTTTTTTAAAATAACGAATAGTCCCATTAACCCCTTGTGGCAAGTTAAATAAATATGCTTGTGTTACGACAGGGTTCACCACTATACAAGGTTTACGCCACTTCTTGCCCATATTTTGTCCCGAATTGGTGGTAGGGCAATATATATTTGGAAGACATGAGCGCCCTGGAAAGGGCCTAAGTACCTACTGAATAAAATCTTTGTCTTTGAAATACTTTGAATAGTCCATGTATTTTGTTTGCGAATTTTCCCAAGTCTAAAGTAATTTCTATGTTTTTTCCAGAGCGGTTCTGCGACGTGACACTGTACTGTTCACCGAGCTTCGCGACGCAGGTCCCCAATAAAGACACGGTGGACCCCCACCACATACGAGGGGTGTCTCTCAGGGCACACAGGTGAGGAACAAGTTACATTACTATAGCTATAGTAATCAATCAGGTATGTTAAGGATATGAAGTTTCGGATATTAGAATTAAAAAAATGAAAAATTCAAATAGCAAGATGCTGCGCGACCTACATAGCCACTTTATGTACTATGATGACACATATGATAAAGGTAAAACAGGCGAAGATATTAGATGGTGCCAGGGAATGCCAGACAAGTAACAAATATTAAAAATTATTAAGATTTAGACTCCGCCTTTATCTGAAACTATCCGAAACTTTTAAATCGGTTATGGATATTTTTTTTATTTCGGATATCCGATAGCTTCGGTTACGGTTACGGATATCCATAACATCTCTGAGTATCATTCCATCCACGAAGACGCGCCCCACGAATTTTTGGTCTCGGTCACGCGGGGTGCAGGGAGTTTGATCCGAGCAATCCGAGCGGCATTATTGTAGTGTGCGTGTGCACTCACGGATGATTTAGCGTGTACCGATAACACTCAAACATTAGCGGAAGAATGGTGGGGCGCGTCTTCGTGGATGGCACTATTATACATACGAGGGGTCTGTCTCAGGGCACACAGTTGAGAAGTAAGATACTTACTGGACCTTTCCCACCGCCAAAGCCGTGTTTAAACTTCAGGACATGTGGCTTATCATCCCGGAAAGGGATCAACACCATAAATCGCCTTTCGCGAGGCGTTTATGTTACGGTGCAGATAAGTGTACGTTGCATGCAGTACGGAGTTTCATACATAGAATACTGACAGCCTCAAGTTGATACGGTTACGATCCGTTTCCGGGTTGATAAGTGTGCTTCGTCCTTAAGGATTAAAGGCCCTTTGGCTATGTTCAAATGGTCGTAATTACGCGCGTAAAGATTCTTAATTATATTATTAAAAGCCCTAGGAAAGTTTACATGATTGCGTCACGATCGTAAATCGACAATGGTGAATTTTTTCTACTCATGTGTAGTCAGGATCGACTTGATATAAAAAGTGGAAATAATGAAATCCAATTGATTATTCAAAACAACAAGGTGGACCGACGACATCATAAAGGTAGCAGGAAAGCGCTGGACGCAGGCCGCTACCAACCGGGTAACATGGAAAGCATTGGGGGAGGCCTATGTTCAGCAGTGGACGTCCTATGGCTGAGATGATGATGATGATGAATTGATTATTCAAAACATTTCTCCGCTCCGCCTTGGTGGAATCCGAGCCTTAGTCGTCATGCCTATTTGTCTACTACATCAACAAAATAAATGAAAGCAGTTATACAAAAAAGTATTTTTTAACAATTTAGTCGTAAAATTTCAATAACATAATACGTAATTAGACCCACTTACTGTTGTTTACATTTTTAAACGATTTACGTCATTCTCATATAATAAATACTATTAAATACTTACAATTAATATACATTCAAAGCATGTCTGACTTGATATACCTAACTAGATTGATTTATTTTTTTTTGAGTTTTCTTTTTATTTCTAATTACATATCTACTTTCCCGAGCAATTTTAGTGCAAATAATGAAATCGTTTGTTTATAATTTTAATTATAATTAATCATTATTTTTGTTATGTGTAGTGTAGTTGTGAATTTCATCTCAACAAGTTTTAAATCAAAATGTGCGAAGAATTTTATTTTTATAATTGGATGTTCATTTATTTTTTAATTGGTTGATTAGTAGTTTAAGAAGATACATTATTGTATCTTCCCAATCTTCCCATTTATCTATAAATCGATTTTAGCGATAAAAATGCGGTTTTATGTGAAGGGTTCGTAGTATGTATTAAGGAGTAATTCACCACCAGAATTTCAGTTGGTTTAAGAACGCGAACGTTTATTTCTCAAAAGATAGAACGAATTCCGGTTATATTGCGAATTCAAAAACTATATTATACGAATAGCGGCCGCCCGCGACTTCGTACGCGTAGATCCCGTTTTACCCCCTTAGGGTGGAGTTTGGTAAAATCCTTTCTTAGCGGATGCCTACGTCATAACATCTACCTGCATGCCAAATTTCAGCCCGATCCGTCCAGTGGTTTGGGCTTCCAGTGGGTGATCCGAACATAACATTTTCGTTGTCTCCTAGCAAAGGATCATAAAAATACTTGGAAACTGAGCTTTTGCCTGTTGTAAAATTCGTAAGAACTTTATAATTAATAAATGCTTGAGAAATTAGTCTTTAAAAACCAGCGTTGTCTGATTTTTTTTTGCCAAGTCGGGATTTTGGAACTTTTTGAGTCAGAAGTTTTTAAATACATATTTATTTTTTTATTTGAATTGAATTTACATTTGCACGTCAATAGATAGCAAAAACAGCCACGGAAAATGTTTTTTTTATTAAAATATAATGTTTTAAATCCTATCGTTAGATAGTTTAGTTTCGTTTTCGAGTTATCCCCGAAAAGCGGGACTAAACCTGTCCCGGACGGGACATTTAATTTTGATTAAAAATCAGGACGTCCCGCCAAAATCGGGGCGTCTGGCAACACTGGTAGCAACCCTCACTCTACACGTGTCTGATGTCTCTGACCAAGATCACGGTCAGCCTCTTCCAAGAAAACCAAGGCGTGAAACGTGATGACACGCCCTCCAATTTTTGACGTAAACTTTTACACCGTTCACTTTTTGGCCAATGGCGGCGCGCGCGCTAACCCCCGCCTGTTTTTGGCAAGTATAGGTACGCACGCATATCATTTGGAAGTACATAACCATTGGTGGGGCCGTGTAGGTATTCGATGGAATGGCCTTGATTTATACGCTAAGAAAAGAACTCATGGCGCGATTTTCACCCGCGCCGGCGGCGGTTGCGGGCCCGCAGGTTCTGTAGAATGCAGATTATGTAAAAACTAATGCCAGAACTCACGACGCGGTTTACGCCCGCAGCGGGCGCGGTTGTAATCGGGCCCCGCTTGCAAAGAGAATTAACACTAGCGTCTTATAATTTTATTCTCGTTCAACATTTCATCTAATCATCATAATGGGGAATGTGCATGGTTTTTTCGCGCGCTGCCAATCCCCAGGAAAGGCGTTTACGTTACGGTGCGGATAAGTGTGAATTGCAGTATGGAGTTTCATACAAAGAAGACTGACCGCCTCGAGTTGATACGGTTCCTTTCCTTTCCGGGTTGATAAATGTGCTATGACCTTTTACGACATCCACGAGAAGGGGTAATCCTATACTCATCAACATCATTATCATATCAGCCACAGGACGTCCACTGCTGAACATAGACCTCAATGATTTCCATAATGACCGGTTGGTAGCAACCTGCATCCAGTGCCTTCCTACTTTATGAAGTCTTATACTACTCTGCCGTAACCACACTGTTATTCGTTCGTATTTGTTCGTTTCAGCCATATGACGTCCACTACTGGACAAAAGCATGTCCTGCGCTTCCCGCATCCAGGCACCTCCCGCGACCTTCACCAGATCGTCGGTCCACCTAGTGTCTGCCCCATCTGCCATCAGCTCAGCGAGCTATGTGCCCCGCGCACTGCCACTTGATTTAGCAAAAAGACGCCACCTTCCATACAAAATCTGGCATTGCCATTTCAGCCCGATCCGTCCAGTGGTTTGGGCTGTGCGTTGATAGATCACTATATCAGTCAGTCAGTCAGTCACCTTTGAGTTATATATTTATTTGTTATCATTGCAGGGTGGTGTTAGCAGCATGCTCGGAGCTCCTGGGCGCTTTGCTGGGCGCGCACGAGGCGCAGGGCGAGCCTGTGCTGGTCATAGACGGCGCCGAGCCACGACATCTGAGGGCGCTGCTGGATTATATGTATACTGGAGAGATGAACGTCCACCATGTAAGTGTTTATAATAGTCCTTAATGCGTTGGGAATAAAGAACATACTTCTGTGCTTATCATAGACAAAAAATCAAGCAAATAAGGGCAGTGTAAAGTGAGCATAAGGTGCAGTTCTGTGCTTGTCATAGACGGCGCCGAGCCCAGACATCTGAGGGCGCTGCTGGATTACATGTATACGGGAGAGATGAACGTCCACCATGTAAGTGTTTAGATAGGCGAATTAAGTTAGTGATTAATGCGTTGGGAATAAAGAACATAGTTCTGTGCTGGTTAGAGACGGCTCACGCCGCTGAAGCGCGACATCTGAGGGCGCTGCTGGATTACATGTATACGGGAGAGATGAACGTTCACCATGTAAGTGTTTATAAATATAATAGTCTTTAAAGCGTTGGGAATAAAAAACATAGTTCTGTGCTGGTTAGAGACGGCTCACGCCGCCGATGCGCGACATCTGAGGGCGCTGCTGGATTACATGTATACGGGAGAGATGAACGTGCATCATGTAAGTGTTTAGATACAATAAAGTCTTTAAACTGAATTCCTATGACCTGCACAGGACTTCATACTTAGTTGTCGACACGTTACATTCCTGTGCTGGTCATAGATAGGAACATCAAGCAAGCAAAGTGTGTACTATGTCATGTGTGGGTGTCATGGGTGTCATAAGGTGCACAGTTCTGTGCTGTTCATAGACGTAGTTGAGCCACATCAGAGGGCGCTGCTGGATTATATGTATACGGGAGATATGAACGTCCACCATGTAAGTGTATAAAACGGGATTATTCCCACCTCTCGTTCCCACCGCTGAAACTTCTGTTTAGCCAGGATCTACAACTTGACTGCCAATAAAAACCCAACATGCGAAGGATAAGTTTGTCCCGGGGGAAAGTTAAACTATCATTGGATGCAATGAAACTAATCAGAAGAACATCGGAGGAGTTCTAATTTAAAATACAGCACACAATATCACTCCCGTAACATAAAAATGTGTTGTTTCAGTCACAGTTGGCAAGCCTTCTCAAGACGGCCGAGGAGCTGCGCATCAAAGGCCTGACAGATATACGGTGGAACAATAAAGATGAGCCGCCTGACTGCGAGACCGGTAAGTAATAAATCTGTACTATAGTCCGGTCGCCGAGCAGATAAAATTTCGTACAACGACCCCAACCATCGTTCAACTGATAGTTTCCAACATGGCAAAAATCGGAACCAGCGATCCGGTATTGACGGTGGCGCCCCGCTGTCAATGTCACGGGTAGGACAGTTTAGTATATTGGGTCTATACATATTATAGGGCGCTACTTTCTGTAAATATGTAATCCCATCAAAAACAATACTTGTCAAAAAAACCAAGTCTCGCAACTCAGTTGTACTACGGTAAAAAGTTGTGAGATCCATGTAATACCAAGTCCAGGCCAGGAAATCTTTAACGTTTTACATAAATTATTGACTTGGCCATCGCACTAAATAATTTAATTTACACGTGTTTTCATGCGATGGCCAAGTCAATATATTTATNTTGGGCTGTGCGTTGATAGATCACTATGTCAGTCAGTCAGTCACCTTTGAGTTATATATTTATTTGTTATCATTGCAGGGTGGTGTTAGCAGCATGCTCGGAGCTTCTGGGCGCTTTGTTGGGCGCCCATGAAGCGCAGGGCGAGCCTGTGCTGGTCATAGACGGCGCCGAGCCCAGACATCTGAGGGCGCTGCTGGATTATATGTATACGGGAGAGATGAACGTGCACCATGTAAGTGCTTATAATAGTCCTTAATTAGGCTTGTGTAGTACATATACTATGTATGTACTAATAGGAAGCAATTCCTTTAAGTGAACGAGAACGAACTATTCCTTTTCGCCAATAACAACCCAATCAGTGAAGGTCAAGTTTGTCCCGGGGGAAAGTGACTGTCATTGGACCCAACGCGCAACGAAACTAATCAGAAGAACATAGGAGGAGTTAGAATTTTATTAGAATAATGCCTGTTTTCACTATCAAACCCTAATTTTTAAGTGACACCTATGAAAACAAACTTCCTGTTATGTACCATAGGGGTCACTTAAAAATTAGGGATTGATGGTGAAAACGGGCATTAAGCACACAATATCACTCCTCTAACATAAAAATGTGTTGTTTCAGTCACAGTTGGCGAGCCTCCTCAAGACGGCCGAGGAGCTGCGTATCAAAGGCCTGACAGATATACGGTGGAACAATAAAGATGAGCCGCCTGACTGCGAGACAGGTAAACATAATCTACACTATAGTCCGGTCGCCGAGCAGATAAAATTTCGTACAACGACCCCAACCATCGTTCAACTGTATAGTTTCCAACATGGCAAAAATCGGAACCAGCGATCCGGTATTGACGGTGGCGCCCCGATGTCAATGTCACGGGTAGGACAGTTCAGTGTATTGGGTCTATATTATAGGGCGCTACTTTCTGTAAATGTAATAATTACATGGTTGTCATGGCAAAATCGGAACTAAGAGTACGCGCACACCGTTGATTTTTCGTCGGCCGATAGTTTAGTCGGGCAGTTGATCAGTATGGGCATGTATGGGAGTGCGCACACTACGCCGATTCGATTTGGCCGATTCTTCATACAATTTAAAATCGGTCACAGCTATCGGCCAACTAAAAATCAACGGTGTGCGCCTACTCTAATAATCCAGTATTGATAGTAGCGCCCTTCTGTAAGTGTCATAGGACGCTTCAGTGTTGAAGAACTTTTTTGCCACTTGACGTTTCAGAATCGTTTCACTATAAGATGACCCACGCTGAACTGTCCCACCAAACTCAATGACAGGGGGGCGCTACCATCGTTTAACTATATGGTTTCCAACATGGCAAAAATTGGAACCAGCGATCCGGTATAGACGGTGGCGCCCCACTGTCAATGTCATGCATAGGACAGTTCAGTATTTTGGAACTATATACGTCAATGATTTTTATTGCCAAAAATGTCAATGTTAAAATAAAAATACTATTTCCCAACGTAATATAAAACTATTTTTTCCAAAGGAGTAGTAACAGCCGTCCCAACACCATTGAAACCGGAAGCGAAGCAGCCCGCGGCAGAGAAGCAGCCGTCGCCCAAACCGAAGTCGCCGAAGCATTCCCCAGTGAAGTCGCCGAAGCAGATGGAAGCAGAAGTCAAGAAAGAGACTGAAGATGAGGTGGATATCAAGCCAGAGAAATACACTGTTAATGGTGAGTGAGTAGTAAAGACTTATGATAAGGTCGTCTGTCCACCTTGTGGGTGGACGTTCCACGCTGCGCTTTCTGTTACGTGGTCTCCACTCCAGAACCGCTGGGAAGGCGCTGGATGCAGTTCGTTACCAGCCAATCAATGTGGAAATCATTGGGCCTTCAGCAATGGACCTCCTGTGGCTGAAATGATGATGATGATGACTTATTAAATTAAGCAGGTCTAAATAAAAGGAATACGTGAATATTTCTTACCATGTCATCTGAATTCAAGTACATAAGTTATCCAAATAAAGATTATTTCCTAAACCTGCCAATAGATGTCACTGTGCAGAAGAACTTAACTCGCGCTAGTGACTTCTATAACCTAGTGAGAATTACAGGCATGAATAAGAAATTAAATTATGTTTTCTTGCAGGTGGCCCACCTCCTCTCATAAAACTACCCACAAAAGAGAAACCCAGTCCGCCGAAAAGAGAGCATTCAGATTCGTAAGTATATCTTTCATTGCAAAGTCAAATAATGTTGAAATCACTTTAATTACTAATAAAAAAAAATCTGTACTGTACTGTTCCAGTACATTTCTATCATATCTCATCCCATAGCTATGCTCGCACACTCACTGCGGGCGCCCGTCGCACAGTCGCGACAGCAATATAATTACGCGCGAGCGATAAGGATGGGTAGCTTGGGGTCATTGGACAAAATTCTACGTGCTCACGGACCAGGCTTTAGTGATTATTATTAACCTTGGAATTTACTAAAAATAAAAATAAAAATAAAAATTAGTTCCGAGCTTTAAAAAAAGTGTTATATTTAAGAATATTTTTTAACATTTTACCTAGTGAGAGGAATTTTATCTAGAAAATTCAGAATGTTTACTGGATTATACAAGTTTTTTTTTTAATTTGCAGAGAAACGCCCAGTCCGAAGAGACAACGGCTCGCAAGCGGGACAGAACACACAGACGACGAATCCGCTTCGCACTCGTTACCGTAAGTTTGTTTAGTACTCGTAAAGTATTTGAAGTTTTTGAGGTAATAAAAGGTGTGAGAAAACCTAACAAATATGAATTCTGGTGCTCAACCACGACGTTTTAAGGACATCGCATATTTATCAACCCGGAAAGGTCGTAACCGTATCAACTCGAGGCGGCCAGTATTATTTGTAGGAAACTCCATACTGCAACTCAATGACAGGGGGGCGCTACCATCGTTCAACTGTATGGTTTCCAACATGGCAAAAATCGGAAACAGCGATCCGGTATTTACGGTGGCGCCCCACTGTCAATGTCATGCATAGGACAGTTCAGTATTTTGGAACTATATGAGCTTTATTGGGCTTGCTTCGGAAGACCCTTTACGAGTAGATGTCGCTTTTTGATTACCTATATTTTCTAACTTCGTTCTCTTTCCTCCGATTTTTTCATGATTCAATAAAAAATATTTTTTGGTGCAGTGACACGGGGAGAGAACGAGACCCTGAATGGCAACACGGGAACCTGGTAAGTGATATCTATACTGTAATGTCTGTAATATTAATAAGTTAGGTTGTATGTAGGTAGACTGTTCTTCTACATATGTGAATTTAAACAATAATTATTAGATGTCTTTGTTGAGGCCTTACGTTTCAATCTACAGCCTCAATTTGAAGATATCGCTTGAGTTTTAAGTGTCTATTAAAGACACTATTTGATTTCCAGAAAACAAATTCTTGATTCGTCCTAACTTTTTTTAAATTATTTTCCACTATTACTGATTAGTGATTATTTCTATTTTTAGCGCACTTTCTTTAATATGTTGTATTAATTAATTCTCTAAGTACAGATCGTGATTGGTTGTCAAAACATTTCTCTCCGCCGAAACCGGGCATTTCAACTACGTATTGTTATCCACAGGATATAACAGCGGAACGCGTGGTCGGTTGGGGCGGCGGCCCGGAATCAGCAGGCGATTGGTCGCGAGAGCCGTCGGACGACGAGTGGGCCGATGCACCCACGGATATCGGGTCATTCCTGCATACCAGGCTGAGGGTCGATGGAGACAATAGCGCTGGTATGTAAATCAGCTTTGTACTTATAGATAACAGTTTGGTATTTACTTCTGGTCCTTTCAAAAACTTCGTCACCGCGATGCAGGTTTCTTTGAAGAAAGCATATTTGCTAGTGATTTAGGATATAGCGCCATCTATTGGCGTCGCGACAGAACAGCTTTTATTCAATCGGTGCTTGACAAAGCAACAGTGCTGGTAGTTATTTAAATCAAGCCCTGTCAAAAACTGTCACTGCGATGCAGATTTGTATAACGTGTGTGCCACAGCGCCATCTGTTGATATCGAAGCAACAAGAAGTATTTTCGCATTAGTAGCTGCTTGAAAAAGCAACAAACAGCAAAGCAGGTATGTTACACGTTGTGTTTGTGAGTTCGATAGCCTATTTATCGAAGAAGGCTTAAGGCTGTACATGGTGATTAACCAGTGTCCAAATTTTTAGGAGCGACACGGAATCAGTAACTTAATCGATTTACGTAAAGAAAACATTTATTTTTTTCATATTTGAGCAGTAAAGAATACCTAATATTGCAAAAATGGGAAATGTTATTCAAACTACTATCACGCGCGTCGCGTCATCATCACGGACACAGTTTACAATCAATTCTAGGGTCCACTTCTCAAAATATTGTTTATTTCAGACGACGAATCAAACGACAGCGCCGGCGGCGCGCGGTCGGTCTCGTCGGTCGCGGCGTCGTCGTCGTCGGTCGCCGACCGGACCGACGTCAAGGTGGAGCCGTTCGCGATCACGCCACAGACTAATAAACGTGAGTACCGTCATGATCACAGTCACAGTATACGATTCCATCAGAGGTAAAGTCAGCATCAAATAGCTTGTGACGCTACATTTCGTTTGTATTTGTAATTAAAATTAAACGGTAGTAACACGAGCAATATTTTATTGCTGTTCTAACAACTTTCAACTATAGTAGTAAGACGGGTAAACACTTTAACGGTATTACTACTGGTAGTAAGAATGATAGTAAGACGGGCAATAAAGGCACCCAAAGTGGCCAAAAAGTTGACAACATTATGGTGTTGCGAAATGTAGAGTGCCCGTTAAAAGGCTACCTTTTTTATTATTATTTTTGACGTTCATAAGTGCTAAAATATTGGTCTAAAAACTGAATAAAATATTTTTGGTTTTGATTTGACGCTGACTGTACGTGCCCACTGGACGAACATCCGAAGATGAATCCAAAATTCGCCCTGTATAATATTATTTTTGTGGCATTTAAAAATTCACGCTTATTGACCCTTGCAATTTTTTATTGGACTGTTTTTTCCTACAGTGAAATAAGAAATGGTGATTACGAATAAGGCCCAGAACAGACGTTACGGTGAAACGTAACTGCAACGAAACTGCAACTGCTAGTTACTTTTGAGATGCATCTAAGTTTCTGCCATAGCGTCCGTTGAGAGACCACACATGACGCGACCAGTTTGAAACTTTCAGTTTCATTCATCAGAATCATTAGAAAGTTGCAGTTTCGTTGCAGTTGTGTCTCACCGTCTGTTCTGGGCCTAAGGCATTACAAAAATAAAATAATAAAAATACATACATATGTACAATAAAATCATCTTGTCAACATTTGTTTACTCGTACTTAATCTAATTGCTGCTTAATTGGATTTTTTTGGCCCCCAGCGACGGTAGGCCCCAAATCTGGCCCCACGGACCCCCGTTTCACAGACGTGGTGAAGCTGACGGACTACTTACAACACGGACGGAGGCCGCAGTTCTGGGAGGAGCACTATGTTAAGAGGGTAAGCTATAACCAGAGTAAATACAAATGAGTAGGTTATCTTCAAAGAAACGCACCGAGCGCGGTTTGTATGTGAGCGCGCCAATACGTATGCGGCGCGCACGCACACACTGACAAAATTTATCGTGGATTATCGGGGAGCCAGTCGTGGTTGCGCCGAATGCTGCTTTAACTTTTAATTGGACAATTTTTATGTTTTCAAACATCTCGCTTGCTACGGAGATTCCTTATTTGACTGGCCTATTTTATTTAGAGCTCCTGTATTAGATTTTAAAGTTTTAAACTTTCGCGTTCCATTTCGACTTAAATAACTCATTTATAAATGTCGCGTTAAGACCCGTGTCTTTCTATTCAAGTTAGAGCTCCTGGTTGTAAATTAAATTAATAAATAAAATTTTATATTTAGTTTTGAATAGATACTGGTTTTTTTTTGGAGGAAAAAGGAACTGATCATTATTATGCTCAAGGCCCCCTAGGTTAAAGATGGCCATATCCCTAAATTGTACATTTCATTCCCACAGGTAATGGAAGCAGTACGTATGAAGGAATTAGAGATGAAGCAAGCGGCAGAGATTCTCGGTGTGAGCTACGGGACGCTGTACGGGCGGTACAGAGACGTGTACGGGTGCATCAACAGGCCGTACCGGTAAGAAAACATTTATTTTACTTTACTTTATTAGGAAAACAATTAACAAGCTGAAGTGGCAATGGGCACGGAGAACTGACGGCCGATGGGGCAGCAAGGTTTTGGAGTGGAGCTCGCGTACCGGTAAACGCAGCGTGGGACGTCCAGTCGTCCACCCACAAGGTGGACCGACGATATCATAAAGGTAGCAGGAAGACGCTGGACGCAGGCCGCTACCAACCGGGCAACATGGAAAGCATTGGGGGACGCCTATGTTCAGCGGTGAACGTCCTATGGCTGAAATGATGATGATACAGTGTTACTTAACTTACGCCCGTATTCACGAACGATGCTTGCTTAAGTGACGCAGCAAATCGAACGCACAGCGTCGAATAGAGCTCTGTGATTGGTTCGTGTGTCACCATGTGCGTCCACGCGCACTGTGATACCTCATAGTGATGTTTTTGAATACGGGTGTTAGTATGAAGGAACTAGAAATGAAGCAAGCGGCAGAGATCCTCAGCGTGAGCTACGGGACGCTGTACGGGNCCCGTTACAATCGCCAACCAAGTTACATTACAAATATTATGTTATAGGCATATTACATTACAAATATTATGTTATAGACAATTTAGTTTGCAAGGTCACATAAAAATTAGGGATTGATGGTGAAAACGGGCAATAGCCTACTAAATTCATTTGATTCCTACAGGTAATGGAAGCAGTCCGTATGAAGGAATTAGAGATGAAGCAAGCGGCAGAGATCCTCGGCGTGAGCTACGGGACGCTGTACGGACGGTACAGAGACGTGTACGGGTGCATCAACAGGCCGTACCGGTACGTGATACATATTTGACACTGGTCGCTTTAGTTTACAGCTGAAACGAAAGAAACTTGATTGGACAGCTAGTTCAAACGATGCTGAAACGTAAACGGAGCGCAGCGTTGAGTATCTGTACGTACACACACCGACTGGTCGTCCCTGGGATAGATAATTAAGTTGTTGACACTGCAGAGACACTAGACACAATAGAAATTGTATTTTAAATAAACAAGTTGAAAAAATCGAACTGCCCAAGGCGGGAATCGAACTCACGACCTTTCGCTTGCCGGGCGACTAATTGCTCTTCCAACTGAGCTACTTTTGCCCGTTTTCACCATCAATCCCTAATTTTTAAGTAATTCCTATGGTAACACATAACATGAATTTGGTTTTCAAAGGGGTCACTTAAAAATTAGGAATTAATGGTGAAAACGAGCATTAGACACTGGATGAACCCGTCGAAATTTTATTGTATTGTTCGAATCGAGGCTCACCGGTGAGCCGCGTGGCGTCCAGCGTGTTAATTTTATGTCCCTTTAGAAATACGAGTATTAAAAACGCGAATTTGCGTCCACAGTACCTATTGTATGGGCTGTCAAAATTAATCTTCTAATAGGAAAATAGGTGCGATAAGTTCGTATTATAATTGATTTCTAAGCTATTAAAATTTCAATCATACAAAATTTGATGTATTTACGTAAGCTCTGTTTTCGGTGCCCAGTTATTTAAGGGATTGGAGTTCAGAATTAATATTGTGCAATGTTGTTGTGTTAATTGTATTGTTATTGTTTGTTCTTTGTAGCTGTGCCTTAAATAAATAATTAAATTGGTGTTTTGGAATTATTGGTTAATAGAGTCATTCTAATTTGTGTCCCACAGAACGGCCCGCGACTTCTGGCAGGCCAAAGGCCCGTCCGAAGTGCTGGAGCGACTGCAGCGCGGCGAGATCTCGGTGGAGGCGGCGTCTCTAGCGCTCGGCGTCAGCGTCAACAACCTGGCCGCGTACATGGCCGACTTCCCGCAGCCGCATCAGGAGAAAGGTGAATTTATCAAGTCATTTCAGCCACAGGACGTCCACTGAAAATCATCATTTCAGCCACAGGACGTCCACTGCTGAACACAGGCGTCCCCCAAGGATATCCACTGGTCTTGCGCTGCCCGCATCCAGATGCTTTCGTATATGGCCGACTTCCCGCAGTCGCGCCAGGCGGAACGTGAGCTTGATCAAGTCATTAAGTCTCCACAGGAACAAAACTATAATTTACCAACCTGCGCCTTCCTGCTACCTTTATGAGATCATAGCTGCCCCATTGACCGTCAGTTCTGCGTAATTATTTGCTCTGCTCATTGCCATTTCATCCGTCGGGCTATGTCAGCGGCTTTAGTTTGTTCATGGATCTCCTCATGTAGCCTTTTGAGCTTCCTTACAAGGACTATAGTGGAGGCCTCATTTCCCTACCATATTATCATGCTGGTGATACACACTGGTTGCAGACTTTCGTCTTTAGACACTGAGGTAATTTGGACAAAAGGACGTATAATTTCCCAAAAAGTGCCCAGTGGAAGGTTGTAGACTTCTGTCTTTAGGTACTTTGGATAAGAAGACGTTGTGTAGTCTTAACGCTGCCCAACCTATAGGAGAAAGATCACTATAATCCATCAGGCCCGTCCGAAGTGCTGGAGCGACTGCAGCGCGGCGAGATCTCGGTGGAGGCGGCGTCTCTAGCGCTCGGCGTCAGCGTCAACAACCTGGCCGCGTACATGGCCGACTTCCCGCAGACGCACCAGGAGAAAGGTGAGTCAAATGACGTCACAGCTGGACATAGGTCTCCCTCAAGTATCCACAACTCTGCCCGCATCTAGGTGCTTCCATATATGGCCGACTTCCCGCAGCCACATCAGGAGAAAGGTCAGCTTTATCAGGTCATTTCAGCCACAGGACGCCCAATAGGCATTCCCCAGTGACTCCAGATTGGCGGGCTGAGAAAGGACAGTATTTCACTTATTTCAGCCACAGGACCGCAATGGTTTCCAGATCGGTTGGTAGCAGCCTGCGTCCAAAACCTTCCTGCAACCTTTGAGTCCGGATTGGCTGGCTGAGAAAGGACACTATTTCAGCCACAGGACGTCTACTGCAGAACATAGATCTGCCCCAATGATTGCCCGATTGGTTGGTAGCGGCCTGCATCCAGCGCCTTTATGAAGTCATCTGTCCACCTTGTGTTGGGACGTACCGTCTATTCCAGAACCTTGCTGCCCCATCGATAGTCAATTGTGTTCCATAGTAAGCTGGACTTCCTTACGAGGTCTATACTGTAGTGTGAGGCCTCATTTCCCTACCATATTATCATGCTGGTGATACACACTGATTGCAGACTTTCGTCTTTAGACACTGAGGTATTTTGGACAAAAAGACGTGTAATTTCCCAAACAGTGCCCAGTCGAAGGTTGTAGACTTCTGTCTTTAGGTACTTTGGATAAGAAGACGTTGTGTAGTTTCAACGCTGCCCTATAGGAGATAGGTCAGTATAATCCATCAGAACCGTCCGAAGTGCTGGAGCGACTGCAGCGCGGCGAGATCTCGGTGGAGGCGGCGTCTCTAGCGCTCGGCGTCAGCGTCAACAACCTGGCCGCGTACATGGCCGACTTCCCGCAGACGCACCAGGAGAAAGGTGAATTTTATCAAGTCATTTCAGCCACAGGACTCCCACTGCTTAACAAAAGCCTTCCCCAAAGATTTCCACAAAGGTATGTTGGTAGCGGTCTGCATTCAGAGCCTTCCTGCACCTTACAAGGTGGACAGAGCTAGCACCAGGAGAAAGTTGAGCAGCGTCAGATCATTTAGTCTTCACTCACATTAAGAGAAAGGTCAGGATTGCCATAAGTTAGTCTCCTCTGCAGGAACATTAAAACCATCATCGTTATCAGGTCAAAGGGTCTCCACTTCAGGAGCACAACTCTCTAATTTACCAGAGGCAAATAGAGGACTTAAAGTCTATAGCACGCCGCGGCGCGCTGCTTTGTGCTTTCTTATAAGGCCACGTTTCAGTGCCATATGTAACACACTCTGGTTGTAGACTTTCGTCTTTAGGTATTTTGGATAAGAAAACGTTGTGTAGTTTCAACGCTGCCCTATAGGAGAAAGATCAGTATAATCCATCAGGCCCGTCCGAAGTGCTGGAGCGACTGCAGCGCGGCGAGATCTCGGTGGAGGCGGCGTCTCTAGCGCTCGGCGTCAGCGTCAACAACCTGGCCGCGTACATGGCCGACTTCCCGCAGACGCATCAGGAGAAAGGTCAGCCTTATGATAAGTTCCAGATGAAAAAGCTTTCCAGATTCATCCAGGTGCTTCTGTATATGGCGGACTTTCCGCAACCACACCAGGAGAAAGGTGAGCTTCAGAGCTTGATCAAGTCATTTGGTCTCCACAGGAGCGGAACCCCATTTACCAGAAGAAAATTGAGGCCCATCTCAGAAACCAATTACACACTCCCCCCTTATCATGACATTTCAGGGGTCCAGCACCCCTGAAAAATGACCCTAGATACGCCAATGCGAACGCGAGAAAATGTGTGAGAGAAAAGCAAATGGAGGATTTGGCCTCTATAGCACGCTGCTTTGAGCTTTCTTATAAGGCCACGTTTCAGTGCCATATTGGTAACACTGGTTGCAGACTTTCGTCTTTAGACTCTGAGGTATTTTGGACAAAAAGACGTGTAGTTTCCCGAACAGTGCCCAGTCGAAGGTTGTAGACTTCTGTCTTTAGGTACTTTGGATAAGAAGACGTTGTGTAGTCTTAACGCTGCCCAACCTATAGGAGAAAGATCAGTATAATCTATCAGGCCCGTCCGAAGTGCTGGAGCGACTGCAGCGCGGCGAGATCTCGGTGGAGGCGGCGTCTCTAGCGCTCGGCGTCAGCGTCAACAACCTGGCCGCGTACATGGCCGACTTCCCGCAGACGCACCAGGAGAAAGGTGAGTCATTCAGCCCAATGACGTCACAGTCTCCCAAGTATTTCCAAAACGCATCCAGGTGCTCCATTCAGCCAAATGACGTCACAACTGGACATAGACCTCCCCCAAGTTCTAGTTCTAGCGCTCGGCGTGAGCGTCAACAACCTGGCCGCGTACATGGCCGACTTCCCGCAGACGCACCAGGAGGAAGGTCAGTCATATAGCCCAATGACGTCACAGCTGGACATAGACCTCCCTCAAGTATCCACAACGCTGCCCGCATCTAGGTGCTTCCATATATGGCCGACTTCCCGCAGCCACATCAGGAGAAAGGTCAGCTTTATCAGGTCATTTCAGCCACAGGACGCCCAATAGGCATTCCCCAGTGACTCCAGATTGGCTGGCTGAGAAAGGTTAGTCTCCACCACAGAAGCAGAACTACAATTTACCAGAGGCAAATGGAGGAGGAAGGTAGCGGTCTGCATCCAGAGCCTTCGTGCTACCTTTGAGTTCACAAAGTGGACAAATAGCTAGCACCAGGAGAAAGGTCAGCATCATATGTCATTTAGTCTCCTCCCACATCAAGAGAGAAGCCAGGATTGCTATCAGTTAGTGTCCATTGCAAGAGCACTAAGAGCAAGTTCCAGATGAAAAAGCTTTCCAGATTGACCGATTGGTCTGCATCCAGAGTGAAAAGTCAGCATCATCAAGTCATTTGGTCTCCACAGGAACAGAACTCCATTTACNCCATTTACCAGAAGAAAATTGAGGCCCATCTCAGAAACCAATTACACACTCCCCCCTTATCATGACATTTCAGGGGTCCAGCACCCCTGAAAAATGACCCTAGATACGCCAATGCGAACGCGAGAAAATGTGTGAGAGAAAAGCAAATGGAGGATTTGGCCTCTATAGCACGCTGCTTTGAGCTTTCTTATAAGGCCACGTTTCAGTGCCATATTGGTAACACTGGTTGCAGACTTTCGTCTTTAGACTCTGAGGTATTTTGGACAAAAAGACGTGTAGTTTCCCGAACAGTGCCCAGTCGAAGGTTGTAGACTTCTGTCTTTAGGTACTTTGGATAAGAAGACGTTGTGTAGTCTTAACGCTGCCCAACCTATAGGAGAAAGATCAGTATAATCTATCAGGCCCGTCCGAAGTGCTGGAGCGACTGCAGCGCGGCGAGATCTCGGTGGAGGCGGCGTCTCTAGCGCTCGGCGTCAGCGTCAACAACCTGGCCGCGTACATGGCCGACTTCCCGCAGCCGCATCAGGAGAAAGGTCAGTCAAATGACGTCACAGCTGGACATAGACCTCTCTCAAGTATCCACAACTCTGCCCGCATCTAGGTGCTTCCATATATGGCCGACTTCCCGCAGCCACATCAGGAGAAAGGTCAGTGCTAGCGCTAACATTCGTCATCATCATCATTTCAGCCACAGGACGTCCACTGCTGAACACAGGCGTCCCCCAAGGATTTCCACTGGTCTTGCGCTGCCCGCATCCAGATGCTTCCGTATATGGCCGACTTCCCGCAGTCGCTCCAGGCGAAACGTGAGCTTGATCAAGTCATTAAGTCTCCACAGGAACAAAACTATAATTTACCAACCTGCGCCTTCCTGCTACCTTTATGAGATCATAGCTGCCCCATTGACCGTCAGTTCTGCGTAATTATTTGCTCTGCTCATTGCCATTTCATCCGTCGGGCTATGTCAGCGGCTTTAGTTTGTTCATGGATCTCCTCATGTAGCCTTTTGAGCTTCCTTACAAGGACTATAGTGGAGGCGACGTTTCACTACCATATCTCATTGTGATAACACACTGATTGCAGACTTTCAGCTTTAAACACTTGAGGTATTTTGGACGAAAACACTTAGTTTCCCGAATGCTGTCCAGTCGAAGGTTGTAGACTTCCGTCTTTAGGTACTTTGGATAAGAAGACGCCATGTAGTTTTAACGCTGCCCAACCTATAGGAGAAAGATCAGTATAATCTATCAGGCCCGTCCGAAGTGCTGGAGCGACTGCAGCGCGGCGAGATCTCGGTGGAGGCGGCGTCTCTAGCGCTCGGCGTCAGCGTCAACAACCTGGCCGCGTACATGGCCGACTTCCCGCAGCCGCATCAGGAGAAAGGTGAACTTTATCAAGTCATTTCAGCCACAGGACGCCCAAAAAGCATTCCCCAGTGACTCCAGATTAGCCGGCTGAGAAAGGTCAGGGTTAGCGCTAACATTCATCATCATTTCAGCCACAGAACGTCCACTGCTGAACACAGGCCTTCCCCAATAAACTCCACAAAGGTCGGTTGGTAGCGCCCTGCTTCCAGCGCCTTTATGTTGCCTTTAACAGGTCGTCAGCACATCTTGTCCTACGCTGCGCTTGCTGGTACGTGGTCTCCGGAACCTTGCTGCCCCATCGGCCATCAGTTCTGCATACTATGTGCCCTGCTCATTGCCACTTCAGCTTGCTAATCCGTCAGACTATGTTAGCGACTTAAGTTTGTTCATGGGTCTCCTCATTCCTGAATCATGATTCGACTTAAAGAAACATTGAGCATTGCCCTCTCCATAGCTCGCTGAGCTTCTTTAAAAGACTTATAAAGAGAGGCCACGTTCCAGTACCATGTGTAAAAATCATTGGTTCAGACTTTCGTCTTTAGACACTGAGGTAATTTGGACTAAAAGACGTATAATTTCCCAGACGCTGCCCAGTCTAAGGTTGTATAGACCTATTTACATTGTAGACTTTGATTATGTGTATTATTATTTAAACAAACTTCAGAAAGGAGTCTACGTTCATCTGTGGGCACTTCTTCGAAATCGCATTCTTCGGCTGATTCATATGGACAAATTTCAAATTCAATTTTAGGTTTGTAACATAGACTCATATGAAAATAGGTACCCCCAATAACATATATTTGGATAAGGGACTCGTTTTTGTAAAGTAGTTTTCAAGATATCGACGTTCAAATATTTTGTGCCCATATGAATCAGAATTTGTTACATATTAATCAAAAATAGAAATAAAATTTATGATATTTATGTACAATTGGCTCTAAATTAAGAAAATAATCATATTATTACAAAAACAATGATCTGTTGTTATTAAAAAATGCAACGATTCAACAATAATTCGTGAAAAAACTTTTTTTTGAAACTTTAGTATAGGTACATCCATAATATTTTGTCATCATCATAATCATTTCAACTGAACATAAGCCTCTCCCAATGATTTACATAATGACCGGTTGTGTGTTTACATCCTGCGCCTTCCTGTGGGAGGACGTTCTACACTGAGCTTGCCGGCACGTAGCTTTCACTCCAGAAACGTGCTATCCCATCGGCCATCATTTCTGTATTATCACTTCAGCTTGCTAAAACATCGGACTATGCCACTATACGACTTTAGATCGTTTACGGATCTCCTCATTTCGGATTCGATTGCATAAAAAACAAGCATAGTCCACTCCATAGTACACTATGCAATTTTGTGGTTCGTAAGCCTACAGTGAGAGGCTGCTTTTCAGTACAATTTGTCATCACTGATAAACACACACTGGATGTAGACTTTCATCTTATGGCACTAAGGTATTTTAGATGACTACCGAGCTGTATCACTTATCCAAGCTATCGTTGTTAAGACGTCCACCCACAAGGTGAAGAAGGTGAGATGAGCTTATAGAGGTTGTGGCAATGGCAATCAGTTAATCTCGAAATCATTGGAGGCCTATGCTCAGCAGTATATTATTATGTGCTATGGACGCCATAAGTGTAGCTGAAATAATAATAAAAATAAATCGTTGGCAATTTTATACAGCACCATTTAGCTACAAAATAAGCAACAAATAAAATATGCTTGTGTTATGGTTGCTAGCTTAAAGGATATAACTACGTATTTACTGTTTAAACACCAATTATTCTTAGCATAAAAATGATAATGTATTTTTTATTCATAACAAGACCGCAATCGCACCTGGTCTTAAGTGAGATGCAGTCTGGGATGTCATTCTTAGTTAAAAAAAACCCTTTTTTGGTGCTTGAAAGACCAAAAACTAATTTATTTTATGATTCATATAGGGCCCTGACCATATGAATCACGCACAGATAAATCAGTTTTTTGCCTAAAATCAAGCAAAACTCGTCATACATACAGACTACAGTGTTGTCATTTTTCTGCATGAATCTATAACCCAAAAGCATCACAAGAAAGACAGATAAGATTTTTAATGCAATAATGTAATTTTATAAAGTAGGCATTGTAATCAGCATGCCACCTGAACCAAGCACAGATGAATCAAGTATTTGCCTTCGTCACACCGGATTCTAAGCCAACCAGCTCCACGTCTGCCTTCTAGCTCATCCGTTGCAAGATGGGCTTGCCTCCATGCCAGAAANAACAACCTTTCCGCGTACATGGCCGACTTCCCGCAGACGCATCAGGAGAAAGGTCAGTGTCATGATAAGTTCCAGGTGGAAAAAGCTTTCCAGATTGACCGATTGGTCTGTTTCCAGAGCCTTACTGCAACCTTTGAGTCCACAAGGTGGGCTTCATCAGGTCATTTAGTCTCCTCCCACATCAAGAGGAAGGTCAGGATTGCCATCAGTTAGTCTTAGAAGCACTAAATCATCATTAGGATGTTAGTCTCCACTGCAGGAGCAGAACTCCAATTTACCAGTAAATCGAGGTTTTGACTTCTCCATTCGTTCATTCATTCATTTCAGCTAAATTACGTCTACTGCTGGATAAAAACCTCCCCCAAGAATTTCCATAACGACCCATTCTACGTTGTCCGTATCCAAGTGCTTCCCGCGACCTTCACCAGATCTTCGGCCTGCCCACACTACGTCTTCCGGCCCTTGGTCGCTACTTAAGAACTTTTCTGCCTTAAAGACCATCAGCTCTACGGGTATGCTCCGTAATAGCACGCTGTATCTGCAACTTTGAGCTTTATTATAAGGGCAAAAGGAGAAAGATCAGCATAATCCATCAGGCCCGTCGGAAGTGCTGGAGCGACTGCAGCGCGGCGAGATCTCGGTGGAGGCGGCGTCTCTAGCGCTCGGCGTCAGCGTCAACAACCTGGCCGCGTACATGGCCGACTTCCCGCAGACGCATCAGGAGAAAGGTCAGTCGTATAGCCCAATGACGTCACAGCTGGACATAGACCGCCCCCAAGTATTTCCAAAACGCATCCAGGTGCTTCATTCAGCCAAATGACGTCACAGCTGGACATAGATCTCCCCCAAGTATTTCCAAAACGCATCCAGGTGCTTCATTCAGCCAAATGACGTCACAGCTGGACATAGATCTCCCCCAAGTATTTCCAAAACGCATCCAGGTGCTTCCGTATATGGCTGACTTTCTGATCATCATCATCATATTTCAGCCACAGGACGCCCAAGAGGCATTCCCCAGTGACTCAAGATTGGCTGGCTGAGAAAGGTCAGGGTTAGCGCTAACATTCGTCATCATCATCATTTCAGCCATAGGACGTCCACTGCTGAACACAGGCGACCCCCAAGGATTTCCACTGGTCTTGCGCTACCCGCATCCAGATGCTTCCGTATATGGCCGACTTCCCGCAGCCGCATCAGGAGAAAGGTCAGCATCATCAAGTCATTTGGTCTCCACAGGAACAGAACTCCATTTACCAGAAGAAAATGGAGGCCCATCCCAGAAACCAATTGCACCCTCCACCCCTTATTATGACATTTCAGGGGTCCAGCACCCCTGAAAAATGACCCTAGATACGCCAATGCGAACGCGAGAAAATGTGTGCGAGAAAAGCAGTGTAAGTAGATCCGGTCCTGTTGTCTCCACTGCAGGAGTATAACCCTCTAGAAGTAAATGGAGGATTTGGCCTCACCATAGCACGGTGCTTTGAGATTTCTTATAAAGCCACGATTCAATGTCATATTGGTAACACTGGTTGCAGACTTTCGTCTTTAGACACTGAGATATTTTGGACAAGAAGACGTTACTTCGTTAGTGAATCTCCTCATTTCTGATTCGAACACAACCCTGTCCATAGTACGCTGTGCAACTTTAAGCTTAATAAAAAATAGTGAGATGCCAAATTCAGTACCAAATGTCATTAATGGTAACACCGGTTGAAGATGAGTATTGTTTTTAACCGACATAAAAAAGGAAGAGGTTCTATGCTTCACTGTTTGTATTTTTATTTTAAAAATAATATTGTTGCAGAGTTCGAGCCGATCCCCATAGAGATAGATCCGTCTCTAAAGATGCGGCCTCGCACGTACAGCGCCGGCTCCGTCGCCGCCAAGCCGCCGCCAAGGAAGCTAGCGCCTGTGCCCGAAAAGGTAAGATCAGATACGGGACTATTCCCACCTTTCGTTCCCACCGCTGCAACTCCTGTGCAGCCAGGATCTACAGCTTGACCGCCAATAAAAACCCAACCAGTGAGGGTCAAGTTTGTCCCGGGAAAGTTAAACTGTCATTGGACCTGCAACTAAATTAATCAGAAGAACATAGGACTTTGAAGTTAGGGTTCGACTTCCCTCCAGTGCAAAGTCGGTAACAGGTGACAAAATAAAGGTTTAATAACCTTTATGAAACAAGATAATAATATACACCACGGACAGTAAGCAATAACTATGGGAACCTATTTTGTGAACGTGCCAATAATATGTTTCACAAAATTACTTAAAAGCACGGAATTTTTTCTTTGTCGTGGCAAGATCGGTTTTATAATTTGCAGAAACAGGTGTATGTTGTATTGCAATTGAAGTTGTTGGCTAAATTTGGTCCTTCGAGCCGGATGTTGACCAAAAAATTGATTTCTTTTATAATTGACTACCCTCGGCCATCGTAGTTTATAAGGATTCTATGTTATAATAACTTATATTGATTACTGAGATTGTTCCGGCGTTTCTTCTCAGTACTTGCCATAATGTTTGTCTTGAAGCGCTGGTAGGGCCCATAAGATAAGGAGACATGTAAAGTGCTCTATAAGGGATACCTTTTTAATTATATTTGATGTCCAAAATACTGGTCAAAATTGAATAAATATTTTCGATTCCCGCTTTAGGCAGTTCGATTTTTACAAGTTGTTTATTTATTACTTTGAAAAGCGACTCTAAGCGCTAAGAAATTTTAATGAATATTTTTGATTTGATTTGATTGTTATACAGCCATTCCCCGCGAAGCCCGGCTCTCTCGACGGCGCGTTGGCCGCGGGAGATCCCTTCCGCAAGCTGGCGCCTGCGTCGCTGACCGTCGCGCCTGCCGCCTCGGATAAGGTAACGCATTCTAAAGGTCCAGACCAAATTTAGTCAGTGACTGAGTTATGACAGGAGAAGCAATGGAGGGGTGACATTGACATAATATTATAACGTGACAGACCAAACAAATATGAACCACTTTCACATCACAAAATCAAAAACCGCTTGTTCCCAATGAGTCACACCAAAACTCATTTTTATTTTATTCATTTTTATTTTATTTTTCTATGCTGAATAAAGTATTCTTATTCTTATTCGTTGGGGAAAAAAATCCCATCAAGTCACATGGCACACCCCTACTCGATAACCTGTATTTTCTGACTGAAAGCTTTCATATTATTTGATTTTTTAATGTATTTTGTACATTGTTTATTTATAATGAAAGCTCTTTTATCTTGTTATTAAAGGTATTTAATGTATGTGATTAGTACCAGTGTGACTCGTTGGGAGCAAGCGACAAAAATGGGTGTTTTTAAACTCTATGGTGAATATTTCGAATCGCTCCAGTGGTTTCGGAATAAAATAAAATAAAAAATAAAATATAAATATCTTTGGACAATTTCACACAGCGCTATCTAGCCCCAAAGTAAGCAATTCATATTCTTGTGTTATGGGTGCTAGCTTAACGTTTAGGAATTAAGTTTTTATATTTTTGTTTGTAGTGGAGCCGTTTCTAAGTCCGCCTGGCTAGCTACCACTATGTTATTTAAGTCTGTAGCATACGTTTTGGATATGTTACAGGTAATAGGGATATTTCCGGGATAAAAAACCAAGAGTTTGAATTAGTCCTTCAGTTATCAAAAAATACTCGACACGTATTTTTCACTTTTTCAAACTAATGAAAATTGAAAGAGATGAAGGGTGCCAAAAGAGGTTCGTGACGTCAAAGAGTGCTTAAAAGTGCACTACTTTGTGACATCACACGGAACTACATCGCATCATAACTTCGTAATAATGTTCTCAATGGTTGCAGCTCGCTTCTGAGGTCCTGATTAATTGAATTTGTTACAGCAGTCCAAAAAGATAATGATCGGCAGCCTCATCGACGAGGATCCCATACCGGCAACCGTGATCACCACCTCCGATTCCAAGGTGGTTACAACAAATGTGACCACCCCCACCACTGCTGGCAGTGAGTATCACACTACTGTACACTTACCTTAATAGCAATTTAAAATGGAAATTAAAATCAAATAGTTAAAGAGGAAGAATGATGTTTTTTAGAAGAAGTTGTTTATTTTAAACAATGTTTTGTTTAAATTAACTTAAAAAAATCGAACTGCCTAACTCGTGGGTTCGAGTCTCGCCTTAGGGAGTTCGATTTTATCAAGTTGTTTATTTTAAATTTAGTTTGAGAAGCGACTCAATTCGCTAAGAAATGTTAATAACGAAAAAACATTGTATGTATCGGTTTTTAAGCCGATAACAAAAATTTGTCTACAAATAGTTACTCGTAAGCGTAGGCGCAGACCATTCTAGGTTTTGTCTTACTAATATTATAAATGCGAAAGTTTGTATAGATGTTAGGTAGGATGTCACGATGTATGTTTGTTACTCTTTCACGCAAAAACTACTGAACGGATTTTGTTGAAACTTTGCAGTATTATTTTTTGTAACCTAGATTACAAACAACAAAAACACAACTACATATTATACAATCATAGCTGGGCACCGTTAATCAAATAGTTAACTTCGTTAATCGTTAAACCGTTAATAAAAAAATTAACTTCGTTAAACGTTAAAACGTTACATTCAGCAAGACTTAACGCAAGTTAACGTTAATCGTTAATCCGTTAACACATTATAATAAAACGAAAATAATAATTGTATGCAAGGTTCAAATAATTTCGAAAGCTTGTATCGCGCATGGAATTTATTCCTCTTTTTAGCCAGACAGTTTTGACAGTTCCAACTCCTTGCCAGACAGTTTTTTTAGGATAGCTGCCAAAGCCACGATGACCAAAACTTCATAATCCACCAACATTCTAACCTATATTGGGAACATACNATTTTAATAAATATTTTTGATTTGATTTGATTGTTATACAGCCATTCCCCGCGAAGCCCGGCTCTCTCGACGGCGCGTTGGCCGCGGGGGATCCATTCCGCAAGCTGGCGCCTGCGTCCTTGACCGTCGCTCCCGCCGCCTCGGATAAGGTAAAAACAGCTAAAGCCCGGTCTATGAGCACGTAGAATTTTGTCCAATGACCCCAAGCTACCCATCCTTATCGCTCGCGCGTTAATTATTGCTGTCGCGACTGTGCGACGGGCGCCCGCAGTGAATGTGCGAGCGTAGCAAGCGATAAGGATGGGTAGCTTTGGGTCATTGGACAAAATTCTACGTGCTCACAGACCAAACTAAAAATCAATTCAAAAATCAATTCTGACTGCAGCAAGTTTTTGGAAAAGTATGAAACTACGGATTTTGTTGCCCTCGATTAATTATAAAATAAAGTGATTCTCAGCACTTTTTGGGATCTAATAGATCCCGAATTAAACGCTCTAAAAATACTATTTTGTAGAATATTCCTTCTAATAAAATTTATTATTGAGTTGAGTTTTGGCAGTTACTTACAGCCAATTCTCAATGGTGGCAGCTCGCTTCTGAGGTTCTGATTAATTTAATTTGTTACAGCAGTCCAAAAAGATATTGATCGGCAGCCTCATCGACGAGGATCCCATCCCAGCCACCGTGATCACCACCTCCGATTCCAAGGTGGTTACAAACGTGACCACCCCCACCACTGCTGGCAGTAAGTATCACACTACTGTGCACTTACATTACCTTTAGAGACTCAAAATCTAAATGAAATACCTACCAATTGCGTTTTTAGAAAGATAAAAACCTATTTTAAGTGTATTGTCGATGATACTGAATAAACATTTTTTCTTTCTTTCTTTATTCTTTCTTTCTTGTTTTTTAGTGTTCCGTAGTCATGACAAGGAACTCTTAAGTTTCGATATGTCTGTCTGTCTGTACGAGGTTTTGCTTGGAAACTATTGTCACTATCGTTGGATAGGTATTTTAAAATGGCTTAGGGGTTTAGATTAAGTCTATTTTTCCATTTAGGGATCTGTTTGCAAATTATTAAAGTTTAAGTGCCAATTTTTCTTCGAGTAGGGCGTCCGTCTGTACACACTGTATCTGTGTAAAGTCTGTAACCACTAACGAACGTGTAACACTCTTACCATGGATTTCGTAAAAAGTGACTAAAGAAATGAATCCTCCAATATGACTCTGGTAAATTGGAGAGGGTTCATATTGATAATGTGATTTTAAATAAACTTTACAAAAATCTGAGCTACTTATACATTGGGAGAACCTGTCGAAATAGATGCGACTAGAACATTTTATTAACTGTGACGCGTTGAGTCCATAACCTGATGAAATAATAAATCGTTAGATTGAATAAGAACTTAGTTTTGTTTTAGCAAATAAGTTACTATATATATATTTTTTATGTAAACACTGTGACCACAGACCAGAGAGTGGATATAAGCATAGACAATACAGAACGAGATGCGTTCACACTTCATCATAATGTAATGTCAAAATTATCTTTTTAATCCCACAGGTGGTAAATGGCCGACAATCCGCGTGGCTTCTCTAGAGTCCTTAGGAGGGGCGGCCTCGCCCTCTGCTCTAATGAGGACCCGACCCGACCTCACCATAGTGGCGGCCAAGCGACCCGACCAAGACAACTCTGAGTCCAACTAGTGAAGTGCATCAGTGACGCGACTAGTGCGGTGATGTGCAACTAGTGCGGTGACTAAAAATCACAGTGACATTACAACTAGTGCGGTGACTAGTGACAGTAAATCAACTAGTGTGGTGACCAGAAGATTCGGTGACACAGTGAATATACAACTAGTGGAACTCAGTGACACAGTGAATTTACTAGTGCGGTGACCAAAAATTCAGTGACATTGATACTACTGCAGATATATAACCTAACAGAAGGGTAGTTGACATTGTTATGTATTATTAAAAAACGCAATTTATTTAAAACACTTCATTTTGAAAACGTTTATTTTTCGTTGTTGAAATCAAAAAAATAGTCAATTGAATTCCTAACTAGTGGCATCTTAAGGTGAGTATAGACTAAAGCGTATCTATGTAATGTAACGTTCTTACGAATGGTACAATACAGGTATAATGTACATTTGGTTCGTGAAATGGTGATACTAACACTAGAACATTTCATAGAGCGGTTCGTTGTTCTGTTACAAGTGAATGCTTTAAGCTTTAACTACACCAATGCGTGCAGTACGCCATCGCCGGCGCGATCAAAGGCCAATGACAGGGCCCCGATTACGCTAAAAATTTTCATCGTCGTTTCATGTCGTTTTGACAGCTAGTTGAAACGAAGCATAGACGTAAACGTAAAGCTAAATATCTCATGTGACAAGGAAAATACTAGGAAGGTACGTCTGTTACCGTGATACCGAATTCGCATCTCAGCTGGAATGAAAAACGGAGCGCAACTGTAGAAGAAGTGCGTATGTATTGGAGACGTTAAAAATTAGCGTAATCGGGGCACAGGTCGCGTGAACTGTTATAGGTCGCGTGAACTGTTATAGGTCGCGTGAACTGTTATAGGTCGCGATGGCGATCTGCACGCGTTGGTGTGGTTAAAGCATTAGTCTAGACTTTCCTATAGGTTCCTTTCTCATAAAAAGAGTTTTGATGTCAGGTTATGTCAACTACTCTATTCAATACAGAAACAGTATATTAATAACAATAACATAGTGGGCGGGGCACATAGCTCGAAGAGCTGATGGCCGCTGGGGCAGGAAAGTTCTTGAGTGGCGACCACGAGCTGGAAGACGTAGCGTGGGCAGGCCTCCCACTAGGTGGACCGACGATCTGGTAAAGGTCGCGGGAAGTACCTGGATGCAAGCGGCGCAGGACCGGTCTTTGTGGAAGGCCTTTGTCCAGCAGTGGACGTCTTTCGGCTGAAACGAACGAACGAACGAACATAGTGATAATACCACAAGGTAAATAATAATATGATATTTTACTGCCGATAGAATGTTCTTTATTGTACATGAATTAAGCAATCTGTCTGTCTAACCTGGGTGCCTTTAACATTCGAGTAAATAAGTGCTTACTGAGCAATCGTCATTGCTTACCATTTGGTAAAGTTATAAAGGTAATAGCACACTTATCAACCCGCAAAGGGACCAACACCGTATCGCCTTTCGCCGCGAGGCGAGGCGTTTATGTTACGGTGCGAATAAGTGTGCCTTGCTGTACGGAGTTTCGTACAAAGAATACTGACCACCTCGAGTTGATACGCTTGCGATCCGTTTCCGGGTTGTTATGTGTGCTTCGTCCATAACTCTACAAGTTTGAAGCACTTTTGAAGTCTCGCTGACGTTTTACGTAACCAAAAAATCACGAAGGCGAGGGAGCTTTACTTGTGTGCGTACGTGTACATGCACATAACGATAGTGTAATGTCTATCAAAACTTTTGAAAAACGGTCAGCAGCGAGCCACCACACATGTAAAGCTCACTCGCCTTCGTGATTTGGAAGAACTATACTATTTTGGTTACGTAAAACGTCAGCGAGACTTCATGAGGGTTTTCGCGTATGAAAGATCCGCTAGATGGCGGGACGTGGATGTGGGGTCTGACTTCTGCGTGATTGGTGGATTTTGACATATTATCTGTCAATGTCATGTCAAAAATAACCAATAATGCAGCATTTGGAACTCGCGTCTACGTATTGCCATCTAGCGGATTTTTTATTCGCGAAAACCCTCATTGCAACAACTATACTGTCAGTAACCTAGTCGGTTACATCTTATGCCTGTAATTTAAGTTAAAATAAAATAGTGTGCATGTTGATACACTTTTATGATTATTTTAGTTGTCCACATATTTTTCAAGAAACACAAAATAAATATAAAAATATTAAGATTTCTAAACCGACTGGATTTAATTACGGATTAAGTGCACGAGTTATTTAATGTTTAGAGATAATTTAGAGAATGCAATATGTAAGCAATATTGATGTTTATCGTTCTTTTTTATTATTTTTGACAAAACTTTTGGGTCTTTACTAAAAATTATTGTGAAATTAATACCGCGAATTTTGGTCTCTTAAAAAACTTATTAGACCAGATTGGACTTCAGAAATATGCCTCATGATAAAATATTATTGAGAAATCAATACATACTCTTTGTTTTAAAAAAATCTAGTACCTAAGTATTACTTTTTCTCAAATATAGCTATAGATAGACACCACTGACACTATCTTGTTTGTAAATACATAATGTTATATCTTTAGTTAGCTGTAAGTTAGAAGACCAAATTATATATTACTGATACTTCTGTTTGTTCATTATCGTGCTAGATTTAGAAGTTGTTAATATTGGTTCTTTTTAAAGAGTAGACCAAAAGATAGATGTCTGATGATCTAGAAAACTACAAATCTTTAGATCCAGGCCAAATTACTATAAATTATAATAAATATACTGTATCAAAAGCTGTTGTCAACATTTTTGTTTTCTAAATTTTGTTTTTGACAACTACGTATAGGTTACGCAACGAAAGTTGAGGCGAACTTGTTCTCTATGTTCTGATTAATTTCGTTGCGGGTCCAATGACAATGTATTTCCCCCGGGACCAACTTGACCTTCACTGGTTGGGTTTTTATTGGCGGTCACGCTGTAGATTCCTGCTACATGGCAGTTGCAGCGGTGTGAACGAGAGGTGGGAATAGTCCCGTAGCTACCTCGCTCTTGTTAATGTCTGCAAGTGAGACAGAAAGCACTTGTCAGTCCGTTACGAAGACGAAGCGCAGACAGCGTGTACAGATACCATTCTTGCTTGTGTTATTGGCCTGATCTATAATAATTTCTTCAAAAAAAATGAAAAAAGTTATGCAGATTTTAAAGTTTTGTTAACTTATTGGTAAGGCATATAATTTGTGGAGCTACTCTTTAAAAGCAATAAATAAAAATGACAACATCCCTATTAGATATAAATGCATATTTATATGTTATATTTATATACCTAAAGTGTGAAAGTCTAAATTTATATTTAGAACCAAAGTAGCTTAAGATATGTAACAAAACCCACATTTCCATATTATATTCTTACACTTATAAACTGTATATTAAAATTAATATATCAGCATATTAATGTATAGTTTAGACTTAACGTAGTTTAGTAAACATTAATTATATTTGTATAAAATATAAATTAATATAATCAGGTCGAATCGATGAAAACCGTCACTGTATGAGTTAAATTATAACATATACATAGGTTATACATACATAATGTAGATACTAGATACACATAAAAGAAATATATTTATACAATATACTCTCTCGTTCCTGTGTAAGAAATTTCTTTTTGTTAAGGGTAGGCGTTTCATATATTGACGTCAAAATGATTTTCAAATATTTCAACCGCCATTGGAAAAATGATTGTCATTGAGTTTTTGTACAGTAAAGATGACAAAATAACTCTTATGCGTCATCATTGAAACAAATCTAAATCTGGCTATTGAAAAATCTGCTGTAAACTCATTATTTTAGCGATTTTATTTCGACAGAATTAAATGTTACACACACCACACACACACACACACACACACATACACACACACACATACACACACACAACCTGCATGCAAGCCTATGTTTCTTTTTTTTTTGCCCCTTTGACTGTTTTTTACGAGATTGTAATAATATATAGAATCCATTATTGGCTGTAAGAACAAAAATACCTGTTTGTATTATTATTATAAAGAGCTGTGGTTTTCTGAATAAAGAAAAATAAAATAAAATAAAATAAAATGTTAAATTAATTTCAAAGTTAAATGAAATCTTCTATTCTTACAAAAGTGATAAAAAAAGATCTACTGAAACAAACCTTTACTTATACAATAAGATACGTCATTATGACGTAAATATATGAAAGAATTTAGGTATGTTCAATTTTGTAACTTTATTTTTAATCGTCATAAGGCGTGGGGAGATTGTAAAATGTAATTTTTATGTTATTGTAATTTTTAAGTGCGTTATCATAAGTTTTAAAATCTCGGGCCTATGTTATGTTAAATTTTAAAGGCAAGTTATGTGTCATGAGTAGAAAATTTATTGAATGAATGCATTGGTTTTGTGGTGGAGAAATGTTCGAAATACCTATTTATTACCAATAATCTTTTATTTTTTTTGGGGGCAAAATCAAATCAAATTACTTAAATAAAATTAATTTTCTAAACACAATCATTCTTAATTCTTATTTCTGTTGGATAAATAGATTTATTTTTAGATAAACTCAACATAATACAGTCATACAGTGTAACATTAAAAAATACTGAAAACGTATGTATAGATGGCCCACCCTAGCGTCGTGTTGTATTATAAATAATTTATCCAAACTTCAATTGGATGTCTCATACCAAATTTCCTTTTGTTTTTAAGTTATTTTTTAGGTTTTTTTTATGACCCAAGGTGTCTTCAAATTAGGGACGTTAAAAAATCGATTCACTAATCTGAAAGCGCCTTGAGTTTCGTGAATAAAATTTCTTGATTACAGTGATCCATTTTATAAGTTTACTTCATTTGAGTGATTCTATTGCAAATTGATTAAAAACTCTGTATTGTTTAAGTGTTATTAAATGGGCAGAGCAATGTTAAAGTTGATCCCATTTTATAACAATAAAAGTATTAAAAAACCAAGCCATAACAGTTCTACTGCTAGAACGAGAATTAACATACCAATAGGCATATAAATTTTGTTTTTTAGGCGAAGTTCAGATACTATAGTCTGGTCTGCGAGCATGTAGAATTTTGTCCAATGGCCCCAAGCTACCCATCCTTATCGCTCGCGCGTAATTATGTTGCTGTCGCGCTCGCACACTTACTGCGGACGCCCGTCGCACAGTCACAGAAATTGAAGAAAATAATATAAAAAGTACTGAATAAATAAGTAAAAGAATCGCTCTTTATGAAGTTAACTAATAAAATAGGTCCGAATATAATAAATAGCTTTATTTAGTGAAGACATGTCCGGTCTTTAGTTGACTAGAGATTGTGGTCGAGTGTGTTTTTATTAAGACAAAAAATTACTTATCTAAACTCCTTTTATAATTTCTTTTTATTTTTTTAAACCCTTTAACGAATTTTCATTATTTCATGATTAAAGGCTTCACCAGACTGCTCGCTTTATTTTAAACAGTAACGTTTTTTTCAAGCATATTAAGTAAATCCAACGGAAGAAAGTTAATAGAAAAATATTTTTAAAGACATTTGAGTCATTTTAAAAATACACTAGACCACAGTCAAAGTAATTTAAGTAATTGTTATCGACTCATAGGTTTATAAGATTTTTATTTATTAGGATCAATTTATCGAGTTTTTGATTGTTAGTATTTTTTACTTGTATTAGCCGAAAGAACTCATGTATTTTTAGTTAAAATTCGATTATGTCGAACTCGTATTACAAAACGATGTTCAAACTCGATTCTAACTCAAGCATAAATTGAAACTTGCGATTGGCTGAAAATGGCTATTTGATACCATTTAAAGTGCACATTTTTTCTAAGAGACACTGGTATTCAAAATTAAATTAATTTGTAATCAACTGTTTTAGCATTTGTTGTTTTGAAATTGTGAAAACGTACTGACGTCACCAGCTACATAACAATATCCTTTTCCAATAAAGAAATCTCAGCTTTACTTCTTGATTTTGAGTGGTAGACTCATTTGAATGTTTGTTTGAA